GGCAGAGAGGACGCAGCGGTAACGGCTCAAATACTCCTGCTGCGTCCTGCACGCGGCCGCTGCAACATTCACAAAATCGCTCCACTAAAACAAAATAATTCACTTGCGTTCGTTTATATCAGCGCATATTCTCTGGTATTTTGTGCTTTTCTGACGTGCTTTGCCTCAGCTGAGTTCATAATCTGTGCCCCGGTGATTTCAACTCATTACTGCTGGAGCGTCGCGCATGTGAAGATCCCTTTGGCTGATCGTTAGAAAGTAGGAAGTCTGGGAAACAGTTTTTTCTGGAAGACGGAGAAAACATGCAGCATGCAGGAAGGTTAGAGAGAGAAAGGGCAGGAAATTATTCAAATAAAATCAAGAAAAAAAGAAAAAAAAGTAGGTAGATTTATCCCCAACACACATTTTTACCAGTGAAAAGCAATAACACATAAGCATTTAATATTTATACATGTGATAGAATCAGATCTCCCCAGAAGACAGTCCCACATCCAGGGCCGTATCAAGGCATTTGGGGACCAAGGCAAATATAGGCTTGGAGCCCCCACCACCTCACTCCCTGCTCAGTTAATATAAGATGGCAGCGTGCTGAGAGTACAGATTGTTGTTGCTTTTATTTAATAAACAATCATTTTAAAGCACTGTTATTATATCTGACTGTTTTTAACAGCAATCCTAGCTCAGACACCACATCACCTTCCACATATATGTCATGAGCTCACTGAGCGTCAGATTACCAGATTCATATTGAAGTTGTTTTGGTGAAAGTAACTTAAAGTAATGCAAAAGTAGTGTAATGCCTTACATTTTAAAATCAGTAATATTGTAATGTAATGAATTACTTTAAAATGAGGGTAACAAGTAATAAATAATGCATTACAGTTTTGAAGTAACTTGCCCAACACTGGTAATCAGTAGGCACAGATCTCTTGTCCTCTTTTTTGGAAATGGAAATATGGTCACCCTATATTATTTCAAAGAGAATTTATCAACCATTCAAAAACAAACCAGCAAAGCTTTTCACAATGCTCCAATAAAACATGCTTACACTAGAGGGCGCTAAACTAAACAGACATATTTTCCTCAGCCAGAGAGTCACACAAGTATTTGATGGAAGAGATGCTGCTTGGGGGAAAGTGCAGTGTTAGGTCTTTAAATAATTCATTAAACTGTAAAAATTATTACATTTGCTAGTGAATTATTTTGAATAGTGAAATAAAATATCTGGGAAATTTTTACTTTTGCATGCAGTAGTTTCATTTAAACGGAATACAAATCATGCATGTAGCCAAGTAGCTCACCAGCTAATCATAGATCTAACATGTATAGACTGGCCTTTTGGATCAAAGTTATTATTCAGCTTTTAAAACAATGACTACTGATTTTTTTATGACATGAAAGCAAGTTTTAAATGGCTGGTTTAAACTTTGCACAGAGTTGTGAAAAGAGACTCATTCATGACACACACACAGATTTTAGTCAAAGGTTTTTTCTAGATAATTCTGCTCCGAATGTCCTGAAAATGTTTATTTCACAAAGGTGAGTTAGCAGCAGTGCTGCACCTAAAAACAATCTCAGAGGTGAAATTAAAAACAATAAAACAAATGATGATCATTATAAAATCATTTTGATGAATAAAAATCTATATTGTACTGGTCTGTGCCGCCCTCTGGCGGGGTATGTGTGAAGCAGCAAAGAAGAGTTGACAGGTGGCAGACATAGAACACTTTTGATAGCTGGATGGCTCCCCTTTTCATCCCCCCACACATACATTTAACTCACGGTGCCAACAGACACCGGACAAGAACAACACAGCATGAACTCTGAACTGAAACAAACAACGCTAATATAACCCTGAACAAAATAACCCTAAGAACACCATAAACTGAATAAACAAACCCAATTTACCGTCCCCCCCAGAGTGCAATGCGGCCTTGCCGGCCTATCAGTGGCAGGGCCGCCACAATATTTATTTAAAGTGACTAAATAAAGATGCGGGTTGTGTTTCTGTGTCTCTAAGGAGTTATATGACGAGGGCCAAAAAAGTCATGTTTGAAGTCAATGGGGGCCACAAGAATGTGACTTTCTTAATTTAAAAATATAAACATTATTTGATGTAAATTCTTTAGTTTGTACTGTTCAAAAAGAAATCCAAAACAGGGTTATGACTGATAATCAGAACATAAACCTGTTAGAAAGTGGCGATCTACATCAACATCCTATTGGAGAGACAAAATTCATCATTCAAGTGGGGGCCATATTAAAATGGCTTGGAGGGCCAAAAATGTCCTCCGGGCCGCACTTTGGACATGCCTGATGTAGAAGGACTAGGTGGGTCTTTGGTTCTGGTTCTCAGTGATAACCCAGTGTAGCCTGCTTGTTGCATCGCTGATAGAGTTCATATGTGACATTTTAGTCATTCAAACAGAAAAAGGCATATTAAAAGATCATTTTGGGTTTTTCTATACTCTGGACTTTTTTCTACACAATAATAATCTTTATTTAAGCAGATATAGGTTCCAGCTATGATTCAGGTCAACTGAACATATTTTTGAGCATGTGTGAATGTTGATTGACACTTAACTCATACAATGTGTTCACATTTTGTCTTCATTTTATCACTTTCTCTTGTAGTGTTGACAGAAATGCCCTTTTTTCACGCTTCGTGATAACTAATGTAAAATTTTGTTTTTGTGCCTTCAGGTTTATTGGACCTTGACCAACATGCAACCAGAAACGTCTGAAGAGAGGGAGTGTCCGTACATTGTAGGCTGAGACACATGGGCTCAGCAGATAGCTGCTCTGATCAGCGATAACTAATATGTCTCCAGCTGGGCCGCACAGTTTTCCTCTCAGTGTGGGAAACATTATTACTCTCGTATGACTATTTTAGATGTTCCTTCAGATATTTCACCATGTATTTAGAACCTCACACCCTTGATTTATGGAGCAGTTGTTGGGTTTCTAAGCTTGTCCATGAATATTGCTCAATAAGGAACAGTTTGCACGGGCATTGGACTAAAGAAACGAATACATTTTTTTAGTTATGATTAGGCAAAACAATATACTGATGCACAAAGATCACAACATGCCCTATACGTTATAAATTGGAAGTGGAAATAAACACAAACATAAACAAATAGATTATTAAGAATTCCTGATCGTTGTCCATAATTTCATTGTGCAAAAAATAACATTTCTTGTGTTTTTGATTTGCTAAATAACAATATTCAGCCTTAAAGGTGTGGAACACTGAAAAATCCTTTTTAAAATCCTATTTCTGATTATAATCAGTCACTCTGAGAATGTTTCGAAGCTAACAGTTAGCATTAGCAACTTCACCACGTAGCAGAAGCTCCTCCAGGCTTGTGTTATTTTTGGAGATAAAACATCAACGTTGCAAGTCAGTGGTAGAGTCACGTTAGTGTTATCCAATCAGAGGAGAGATGTTCAAATATCAGGAAATAACACTCCAAATCCTGCATTTTGAAGCTCAGCTGTGATGTAGCTCACTTCTAGTTCCTGGAACAGGTGCACCAGTGTGTTTTTGCTCCCCTGAGTATGACTTACAAGGTATTCATTCCTACTGCAGACTGCTGCAAATATGTTGATTAAATGAGTGTTCCACCATTTTAAATACATTTTAAAACTTGGACATCTACAGTGAACTGACTCAGTCCTGATCAAAAATCATAATGCACTTTTTCTGAGCCATGCTCCACCCTCTGGATTGCAGTTTCAATTGACTGTCAGCAGAACAGTGATGCCAAATATTAATCAATGCTTTTTAAATCTAACACCCTTGTGATAGTAGCAGGTATTGTTGAGATAACATGTCACCTGATCAGAGCTTTAGTGATGTGGTTTGTGCTGGAGCAGCAGAATAAGAGAGACTTTGGGCCACTTGAAAGACGACAGAGACTGAATGGATACCACATTAATATTTTTGCCCATTACATTTGGAACTTTATTAGATCTGTCTGGTAAATAGTTTGTTGACACAATGACCTAATCAGCCAACCAAATGGCATACATCTAGTGTTTGTGGCATCAAGACAGGGTGAAGATGGCGTGCTGAAATTTAAACAGAGCATCAGAAGTAGAAGGGCCTTGGTGGCTTTGTGGCTCCGTGGCGGGTATTGGGCGGTACTCCTGACACCTACAGGATACGAAATTGGAAGAATACGTCCTAAACTCAGCTGCAGCATTTGAACTTATAAAAGTCCTAACCCTAACGCTACCACATGCATACCTAATGAAATGGCCAGTGAGTGTGTGTGGAAACCCGCAGGTGAGCTGAGACAAAGCAGAACGGTTGAGGCAAAGTGAAATGTTCTCATTGTTTCCTGTTCAACACCAAGCTACACATGGAGTCTACACGTTTCACAAAACTCTAATTTCAGCATGAATTCTAAATGATGATGGTGCTTTTTATCCTAAACAAGCCTTCAAACTACGCATTCATTATTCAGTCAACTCAAGCGACACCGTCATGAGCTGCAGGAACCATGTTGTTTTTGAGCAGTTCCAGATGTGTTGGAGTTTTCATTTGCTCTTTTTTTAAATAACTTGAATAAATCTAATTGTCTTCCTCATTTTGGTGGTCTGTGTTGGTATCTGTCATCCGAAAACAGCTTGACTTGCAGCCAGCGGCGGAGGAAGGAGGTGCTGCATCTTTGCTCCTTTCTCACATCTGGTGGGTTTCAGGGCTGAACTTTTATAAAGCTGAGTTAGATATCTTTACATCACACTTGGGGCTACCCCCTCCATCTCTGACTAATTTAATGAGGGAATCCCCAGTTAGTAAACAAGGTGACGTCCAGAGATGCTCTCCGTGTGATACTGCCATTCGCCCCCATCGCTACCCTCCACGCGTGGCCTCCTGACATGACCCGGCTCGGGTTGTTTCTGCCCTTGGGTCATGCAGAGAGGGTGGTGCAGACAAATTAGGGCTGGGATATCCCTGTCTCAAGGTGTCTTGTCCAGATAGAGATGTTTGTGTCATACACCCTGCTGCGCGGGCAGCCAGAGGGGTTGTGGGGTACTGCAAATGACTGCCGACGTACTTTCATGTGGGTGTTCCCGCTCCTCAGGGTCTATCACTGTACTCATCTTTTCGTTTGTCCCGGTTCACTTTGTCGCTGAGCTTGGCAAGGCAGGCAGAGCACTGATCCTCCTGTTTCCAGTTGTGGGGTCCAGGTGGGAGTACCTGCATACAGGTAAGGAAGGGTGTGGCCTCCTTGGGTTTGGAGTTACACTGACTTTGTAGCACTGATGGAGCAGAAGCTAGATATCTAACTAGAATGAAATATTTCAACAGGAAGTCAGGAGATAAGAAGGAAAATCATTTTTCTTTGAACTTTGGCTTGAGGGGAAAAAGGAAGAAAAATGTTTGGTGTAGTAAATTGTGACCAGATTTCTACTTTTTGCTCTCTTTGAAAATGTAAAAAGCAGATTTATAACAAATTTAAAATAAATACATTTTAATGCTGTTAGAATTTTGTCATTTGGCCTGTTTTAATGTAAAAACACCAAACTTCCTCTTTTTTATGCCAAATAAATTTACTATTTGAGTTCTGCAGATGATCAACTTATCGTAAAATGAAATATTATTTGTGTAATTACTTGTATTTAAGAATGTATTTAACACTGCAACCATTATTAATTACCTTCACATATGTGCAGCTACAGCATACATAGATAGAAATTACCCTTTACAAAAATGCTTTTGTGAAATATCAAATACTTGAAATATGCTAATTCAAAAAGTACTGTCCTACAGCTGCTGAAGAAACCACATATGTGTCTGGATGAAGGGTGTAACCCAAAGATAAGACTCTGAAGTCTTCTATTTAAACCCTATTGCAGTTCAAATAGTCAACGGTTGACTGATAATCTGCTGCTCTGCAGACAATCTTTGGGTCCAACTCATGATGGTATTTTTAATCAATATTTTTGTGCAAAAAAGCTCAAAATAGGTTTTATCAGTTGGAGACTTTAGTTGTAATTGTAAACATTGAGACAACCAGACAGGTTTACCTAACACCGTGAATAGTTTGTCGAATATCAATCCAATCAAGTTGGACCCAATGGGTCCTCTGTCATGCGTAGGTTTTGGTGAAGATCAGCATTTGGGTGTCATAAATAAATCATATCATTCTTTGTGTGCTGATTTGTTTGTTTTCCTGTTCAGGGAATGCGTTAAGTAGCTGAACGTTGAGACAGACATTCAATACCCATGGAGAACCACTTCAGCTTTGATGAGGTTGGTTTGTGTTTTAAATCCAACATCTTAAAGTGTTTGATTTAATCATAAAGGATGGTTATTATGATTTAATGAATTTTAAAACAAATATTTATTTCTACCTGACAGCTATTCTTTTTTTAACTTTCCTCCGCTGTAGGGCAGTGACGTGTCCTGTGGGGATAATGACCCCGCCTTTCCTTCTCCTGTAAGACTGTAAGTCTCTCAGAACATCGAAACTTGTTTTCTCTAACGGCTTCCTGGGATACTCTGCACCTTGTTTCTGATAAGATGATAGAGATTGCTTAATAATATCTATGAATAATAATATGAAATAGAGTTTGTAGGCAGTTTGTGATTCTTTTCTTTGTCATTGCCCAGCTCCTCTAGCACGCACACAATCTAACCCATTAGAACGTACATGTCGCTAACCCCGCCTAACCGATGGGCCACAAGACCACAAGCTGCTGCTAAAATCAAGCAAAATCGATCTGAAATGTGATGCATACACTGTAAACTTTAAGGTCACAGAACTCAAAAAAATTTTTTGTAACAGATTACACAAAAATATATAAGTGATGTATTTAAATATTTTAAATTTACAGAAAATATACATTACATTTGCAGTTGCCCTAAATTATCTCAGTGTTATCTTAAAAATGTTTACGTTCCTCAACTTATAATTAGGGAGTAATTCACTCAAGATTTTCAACATTTTTCAACTCATTATTTGGAAAATATACTTAAAATGTTAATATTTTTTACTCAAACTTAATAAGTTGACATAACTCAAAAATTGTTGTACTACACTAACCAAGGTAAGTTGCTATCAGCACATGATTCACACACCCAGCCAGTGAGTGAACTTGCATGCAAAGCCAAGTCGAAATCATCAAGTGTGAACCACCACAGTATTAATTAAAGTGGAACGGCACAGGGTGGTCATTCCTTTGACCAACCTCCTCACTTATGGTGGCAACATGATACAAAAAGTAACACCACATTTTCAGCACTGAATGAAGTAATAACTAAGAACAACAATGCCCCACGATAAACACGCATAAACACCCCAAAATAGAACAAAATAACTAAAAACATAATTACCCACCAGTTATTTGTTGTGCCTGAAATCAACCAAAATTGCTTGTTTGTGCTTGGTTTTTCCTATAGATCCACAAATATTTTAAGAAATATATAAGTCTGTTTATTAGACACACTTTAAGTTGACATAAAGATGAATAGAATAATATAGAAACATAAAATTATAAATTATTTCAAATTAGTTCATTTTACTCATTCAAGTTAAGTTGTTCTTTATAGATTTATTTCAGTTATGCTCACTAATATATATATTTTCAGATTAATTAAAATGTTTGAGTTCTATGTACTTAAAACAAGGAGAAGATTGAACTAATTCAACACATTTGAGTTCTAAAAACTTTTTTTATGAGTGTCACCTACTCAATATATTTGATTATTTTCAACATTTGGGTTTGCAGTGTAATGGTGATTCGAATTATGGGAAATGCTGGGATTTTATAAATTACTCGAATCATGAGGAAAACTGGCAAATAGCAGGAGACTTTTCAACAGAAGAAAAGTTAGAATTGAACATCTTCATAATCCAATTAGTGTTGAACGGTAAATGAGTGTGTGTTCAGACAAAACTAATAATTAAAAGTTTCATTCCTTTTTTTCATGCAAAAGCACTTTAAGGTGCTGTAAAAAAAATTTTACAAAATCTTTTTTATGGATGTGACAAATAGCCTTACCCATAGTGCAATGTAGATTTTTATAATCAATTTACAAGAATGCAACTAAACAGTGGAAGTACGTGTTTTAAAAGTCGTGTTCAGCACACTTAACTAATTAGCCTGAACTCTGCTGGTGGCGGTCAGAAGGACCAGTGACACATGTGCTCAGCAGCCTCACCTCTGCCAGTGCGCCCCAGGCCAGCTGTGGCTATGCCACAGCCTATCACCATCAGTGTGTGAATGGATGAATGATACACTGTAGTGAAGGTCATTTATCTGTCTGAAGAAAGAGATGCTAAAGTGAAAGCTGTCTGCTTTTTAAATCAAATATTTATAGCTTAACAACAAATAAACAAGCAAGACGTCAGGAACAGGGCTACAGCCAGCTCTTATGCATTTTAAACCTATCTGTGGTCTAGACTCACTCATGAGGCCTCCTATGATGATCAAGATAAGAACACTGCAGATAAGTTTGTGTATGCCTGCCATCTAGTGGCGATGTAGCTGTACTGCACATCTTTCCAAATCATAACTTCTGGTTTTAGCAGCTAGTTTGAGACTGAAGGGTGTGCACTCGTGCCATTTTTATCTTAATGCATCTGAAATATGTTTTGTTTTGTTTATTCAAATCATCAGGACTTTACCAGATCAGAGTTGTATCGATGATCCTGAAAAGACAAGGGAAGAAAAGGAGGAAGAGGAGGACTATGAGGCACCCCCTGAAGCCATCGTCATTCCCAGTGATTCAGATGGTGAACCACTCTGCGATTAGCTGATTAGATTGACTCATCTATCTGTGTTCTCACATTAATCGCTTCTTCGTCTCGTTGTTTAAGCTTTTCTTAATCTCAACACCAATGCCACCACAAGAGGGGATGCTCAAGTTAGTCTGTGCTTTTATATTTAACTTTACAATTTTTACCATTATCGTTTTATATGTTGAACCTTATGGTATAACCACAGGCCTACGTTGAGCTGAATGAGCTCCAGGGTAACGTCTGGCAGGAGACCGGCCGATGGGTGGGCTATGAGGAGAACCTTGACTCTGCTACGGGAAAGTGGGGTCCTTCTCATGTCTCTTACCTCACCTTCAGGAGCTTACTCCAAGTCCGCAGAACCCTGAGCTCAGGTGATTCAAATGAAACATCATGAAAACATGCACGTGTACAGATGAGACTTTCCTGGGTCTTGTTGATTGAACCAGTTTAGATACCTCAACCCTCTGTCCTCAGGCGCGATCATCTTTGACATGAACGCCAGCACTCTGTCTGCTGTGGCTGAGAAAATAGTCGATGAGCTCCTCAGCAAGAACGAAATCCGCCCCAGTGATCGAGACGCCCTGCTGAGAGCTCTCCTGATGAGGCGCAGGTAACCACTACGTGGGGGTGTTTTAGTCGACTATGCATGAATATAAATTCAGGAGCTTCTTTTACAACATACCGTAAATCCTCTAATACAGGCCCGGGCCTGTATTTGACTCAAGCTCATCAAGCTCCAGGCCTTTATTGGAAGGAGGACCAGAATTGGAGGCAGGCCTCAATTTCTATTTGAGCAAAATGAACTAATGGTTCGCTGGAGTTTTTGACAATTAAAATTGCGCCCACATTTTCAAAGTTAAACACATTTCTTTTAACAACGGTAGTTTCTGCTTCAGCCCTCTCCCCCCTCCTCCTGCGCAGCGGCCGCAAACTCACTGATGTGCCTGCAGCCTCTCAGAGTTCCTGCTGCTCTAAACATTAAAATAATTATTTCATTTTCTGTTCCTCACTTCTGATTACCTTCAATGGTGTCTGGTTGTTGCAACCACCAGGTACAAAAACTAACTTGTTTTTATTTGACTATTTTTCTGTCCTGCCTGTTTATTATCTTTCTGCATCTCCTCTCAATCCTAAAGAAAAACTGCTACCTGGGTTCATATATATTCACCTTATGAGTTACCTTTGAACTGCAGTTCTTAAAGATCTACCGACCGCAAAAACAGCGGAGTGCTCCCTGCTTGGCGGCTGCATCAGTGATCGGTGCGTCGCCGGAGGACAAGGTGATGGGCCCCGCTCCACAGCAGTGAAACACATCAGGCGCAAATAAAAGACAGAAAACATTAAAGGAAATGAACCGACATGAACGATCGCGTGTCAGTACCGACGCTCTGGCACAGCGCGTCCCCCCCCCGAGCGCAGGAGCTTGTCACCTGCTGACAGCAGGCTGCTGTCTTTTCCGAGGGCTGCATCTTGCCGGTCATTATCACGTGACAGCGACTAGTCGATGACAGGCATAACAAGTCACTATAGTGAAGTCGACTAGTTCATACAACCCCTGCTACTGCTCCCCAGAGTGTTCTGCAGCGCACGTTCTCTTTGAACTTGATATCAAATTTTCGCCTCCTCTTCGTCTCTGCACGGTTAAAGTTACCCTCGCGGTCTATCACTGGCAAATCAAAAGTGAGACGGATGACACAACCGCCCCCCGTACTTGCTTGTTACCACATTCCACCTGGCCACAATAAGAAACTGGCCATTATTCACCTTCGCCAACTCCGGCACCGGCCAAAATATGAGACCCGGCCGTTAATTGAATACAGGCCTGTATTAGAGGATTTACGGTAGACGTATTTGCTCATTTTACTTGTCCTTGCAGTCAAACTGAGGGACCTAAACTTACTCAGCTCGGAGACATCCAAATGCAGACTTTTTCTGTTGCAAAGAAGGTAATTATTATCCACCTTTAGTCTGCTGTTACCACAACACAACACAAGTAACATCTGCTGTATGTTCTTCTGTTTTTGTAGAGAGAAAGTTCTGACAATGTGGAAGCCTCCATTGTCCTCACAGGTTTGTGTTATACCTGCAGGTTTGGGTTGTTTCTACATTGGTTACAGTCGTAGTGAAATGTGTCTTTCTTGTAGGTATCCTCGACCTCCTGCAGAAACCGGTGATGGCTTTCGTCCGGCTGAGCGACTCTGTGGTCATGGAGACTGTTCTGCAGTCTTCTGTTCCTGTTCGCTTCGTTTTCATGCTGGTTGGACCGAGCCAGAGCGGGCTGGACTACAGTCAGATTGGACGTGCCATGAGTGCCCTGATGGCCGACTGGGTAAGAGACACGATAAGAAAGGGAGAGTGGAGATACAATTCTACCGTGTTGGTCTGATTCAGACTGAGAAAAGCTTCACGGCTCTCCTCCATGTTAGGTGTTCTGTCTGGAAGCTTACCTGGCGCAAACTGAGAAAGATCTGGCTATTGCCATCGCTGACTTCATGGACTGCAGCATCGTGATTCCTCCTACTGAGATCCAAGACACGGCCATGTTAGAGCCAATAATCGCCTTCCAGAGTAAGATGTTGCGTGAAAGACTCCGCCCCTCTGACACTCGACTTGCCTTCGGAGAAAGGGCAGAAGGTCAGCAACCCTTCACAGAAAATATAATAATGTGCATTTTAACTTAATTCTGTGAGTGTTTTTAGTTAATTAGCCTAAACAGTTGACCTATGTGTGATCAATATATATAAAATCTATCAAAAGTTTCACAAAACCTCTAAAGGAGTTTCGATTTCAGCCCTCTGTGCTTTTGAATCTACTACATCATTCGTAGAACTAATCAAAGATGATATGTGGAACACGATGCTAACGCTGAAAAGCGATTTGATTAATTGTCCAACAGACAAAGGTCCAGAAGGACCAAAGGAGGACCCTCTGGCTCGAACAGGCTATCCTTTTGGTGGAATGGTGAAAGACATCAAGCGGCGTTACCGCCACTACCTCAGCGACTACACAGATGCTCTGAACCCTCAGGTCATCTCTGCCATCATCTTCATCTACTTTGCTGCCCTTTCCCCTGCCATCACTTTTGGAGGACTTCTGGGTAAAACAAAAGTCTAAGAGAGAAAGACATCAGTGACATCTGAAGCTCATGATGATTCTCTCTGGTTTGAATCTAGCTGACAAAACAGACAAAATGATGGGCGTATCAGAGCTTATGATCGCCACCTGCGTCCAGGGCATCATCTTCTGCCTTTTAGCTGCCCAGCCTGTCCTTGTCATTGGCTTTTCTGGACCTCTGCTCCTGTTTGAGGAAGCCTTTTTTGCTGTATGTAAAATTTATAAAATGTGATATTGTTTGTAAAAAAAACCCTAATGTTTTTAATGAAACCCTTCTTCCCTGTTCTTTCGTTAGTTCTGCAAGGCCCAGGGCATTGAGTACATAGTGGGCCGTATCTGGGTGGGCATATGGCTGGTAGTGATCGTGGTCATTGTCGTGGCAGTGGAAGGAAGCTTCTTGGTCCGATTCATCTCTCGCTTCACCCAAGAAATCTTCTCCATCCTCATCTCACTCATCTTTATCTATGAAACTTTTGCCAAGCTCATAAAGGTCTCCACATGTCATTCTTCCATTATATCCCACCTGGTCCTTTTCTTGCAGCGGACACATTTATTTGGCATTCTTTTTCTTACCGTTCTTCTCATCAGATCTTCAAAACCCATCCTTTGATCCTGAACTACGACCATCTGAATGACACACTGGACAACCCCTTCCACCCTGTCATTAAAGAGCATGTTGAGATACATCCAGATGGAAACGTCACTGTTAAAGAGCTAGAGGTGGAAAGGCCATACCCCAACACTGCCCTGCTGTCTATGTGCCTGATGTTTGGCTGCTTCTTCATCGCATACTTCCTTCGTCAGTTTAAAACTGGTACCTTCTTGCCTGGCCCGGTAAGACCTCATGTTGAATTTACTCTCGAGTTTAAAATACCCTCTACATCATTTCAGTCATGATGCATCTTTGTTCTTTTAATGGAGATTCGTCGTTTGATTGGAGATTTTGGAGTGCCCATTGCCATCTTCTTCATGATTGCTGTGGACATCAGCATTGAAGATGCTTACACTCAGGTAAGTGTGGTGGAGAGTGTCAAAAATTTCTTACAATTTTTTATTTACTTCATTCATTATTAGTGACGCAAAGCTGGTAGATAATGACCACTTCTTAACCAAAAACTACATATCCTTAAAGGTGTGGAACATTGAAAACTATTTTTTTTAAATCATATTTCTGATTATTATCAGTCACTCTGAGTTTTTCATGCAGACTGAACATGAAAATAGTCTCCTGCATCAGCTTCTGATAGAAAATAGAAGATGAAACTCTAGGATTTGAAAAGTCTGACAGATCTACATCACACTGTCACTTAACATTCATGGACTCACCCGTCTTGACTTGGGATGGGGAAGACTGTTGATGGTTTAGTGTCCAGGAAACAGCAGAGAACGGGTGTGTCCGAATCCACGGGAAGGATGCTTGTAAGAGTGCATTTTGAGGTCGATGACGTCACAGCGCAATGAGGAGTACTATCCGAATTCCAAGAATACTCATTCTCGCGTCCTCAAATGCGTCCTCGCTCCGCCCACATTTCGAGGACGGGTCTGTTGTATCCTCACAGAACAAGGCTATCCCAGCATGCTTTGCACGCCGGCCGTGGATTTTCAACAGGAAGAGAAAATGGAGAGAGCTACGAAGTTTTAAACGTAAGTTTGTTAAAAGCTAGCCGTAGAAACCTAAAAAGCTTAAAGCGGTTCAGTTTATAGACATTTTTCGCTTGTATATTTGTTTTTTAAATTGCATTTTAGGCAGAAATCAGCCAGAACGAGTTTGTTTCGCAGGTCCCAGTTATTCCTGTGTGTGTGTGTGTGTGTGTGTGTGTGTGTGTGTGTGTGTGTGTGTGTGTGTGTGTGTGTGTGTGTGTGTGTGTGTGTGTGTGTGTGTGTGTGTGTGTGGCGAATTAAACTTGTCATTTGTTTTAAGGACAACGGAGCAAAGAAGCGTTTTTATTTAGCTTAGAGGTGAAGAGTGAAGCTGTTTACACACAACCACAGAAGTTCTGCTGTGAAAAGTAGTTTTACATTCAGGGATTTACACAGCTGACACGTTTTAATGAAATAAAAATTGTTTGTGTGAAGAATATAATTTTTATCTTCTCGTGTGGATAAGTGTAAAAATGTGTTTATTGCCTTTTTGTCACCTGTGGTCTGATTTTCTCTGTAGGACTGCAGGTGTCCAGGGTCAGGAGAGGCTTTACCTGGTGGTCCTCCTGGGAGAGAGGCCTTCTACTGTCATCATGTTAATGTTATTTAGCTGTTTGATATTTTAACACATTTATTTAAACAAATACTAACTGATAACTTTTTCTGGTCATTGATTTCATCACCAGTTTTATTATTGCAGATGTTTTTGAACATGTTACATGAACAGAAAATGAAAAGATGGTAAGGAGACAAGATTATTTATAATAGGTTACACTTATTTACAGATCAAAACCAGTATGGACCAGTTTTGTACGGTTAAAGCAGGATTAACCTGAGTGACTCTTCCTGGATCATTTATTTAAACTGAGAGAGCAGGAAGTCTTTAACAGTGCAGCTGGATCTGCTGCAGGAGGATCCAGGCGTGGATGGACGTTTCTGGCCAGAGGAACATCATACAGAATGGTCTGCAGAGAGCTTTGGGACGCTTCCTCTCACTGTCCACTCCATCGTCCATCTACAGGGCCTGCTGGGCTGGCTCAGACGACGGCTGTTACATCTCTAAGATGTATTCAGAAATATGAAATCAGGAGACAGTTTATGGATCCACCGGTATAACAATTGTGACTCTTCCGCAAATAAAACCACAGTGTTGTTTTTAATAGAGGTTCCTACATAAATGACTTGCCTGTTAACAGTAGTGGTGGTCTGCTGGTACCTCCTCCAGGACAGAGCACCACTGACCTCCTCCACACACATCTTCCTCAGGCTCATCCTCCAGACCCACAACTTCACCAGCACAGAGGCAGATGTGCAGCACAGTGCATGCTGACCTGTAATAAATTTAAAAAAGAGTTTTTTTATTGAAAAATGTTAAACAAAACATATAACCTACAGTACACTGGTTCTGTTCAGTTTAAAGAAACGCAGCAGGGAATAGTTAAATAAAAACTACAGAGAATTTACATTTTAAAGACAGATCTAATCATTATTAGTCTTAAGTTGAATAAACAAATACACATTGAAAACACTTCATTGCTATTTTATTAAAAAGCCTGTTTTTAAAACGTTTTACCACCATTTGATGCTAAATAAGAAGTTCTACGGTCCAATTTACATTAGAAAACATCCTACCGCATTCAACATTTATAATGCATTTGGTTTATATTAATTACCTACATGTTAATACTCTGCAGAAATGTGTTGTGTACATTTAACAAGTTCATTATGTAGCTTAAAACATACATGAAACCATCTAAAGTTAACATGTAAATCCTGAAAGCTTCTAGAATAAACAAAGTTACTTTACCTGAAAACGGTTGTGAACAAACGCTGCTGATGGACGTGAAGCTGCTGTAGCTCCTGCTCGATTTTCGTAGCTTTAGCATTTTTCCTTTGCATGTAGCTGCCGCCACGGCTGTAACGGGACCTACGGGCCACCGTAGAGGTGAAGGCTAGACTGTCCGAATTCAGAGCCGCTGGGTTCCGGTCTTAGCGGTCTAACAAGGACCCGGCCTTGCTGGACCGGCGAGGACCCGTACTCATAAGCATCCTTCCTGTGGATTCGGACACACCCAATGTCTTGGCTAATAGAAGCTAACTGTTAGCATTAACAGCGTTAGTACATGGCAAAACTCCTCCAGACTTGTGATACTTGTGGATATAAAACATCAACATTGCAAGTCAGCTGTAGAGTTGCATTGCTCTTATCCAATCTGAGACGAGATGTCCAACTATCAGGAACTAAGACTCCAGAACCTGCCGTCTGAAGCTCATCTGTGATCGGGCTCACTTCTAGTTCCTGGAAATGGTGCACCGGTATTTTTGTCCCCCGAGTACGACTTACAAGCCATTCATTCCTACTAGAGTTTGTTGTAGAGGTATTGACTAACGTATTCCACACCTTTAATGCGATCTTTGCTTCTTTTTTTTTGTTGTTGTATGTCTGCTTAAAATACGTTGTAGGTATTCCACGAATATAGAATTTGGAAAACATGGTACAGTAGTGAAAAGCATTATTAAACAGTGATGTAGTCAATTCACTATCTCTTGAGTCCAAGTCACACTCGAGTCTTTAGTTTTCAAGTTCAAGTGTAAGTCCAACTTCCAAAAAGTTAGCGTAAGTCAAGTCTGGGTCAAGACTATTGTCTAAGTTAGCATGTAGCTAGCGCTAATTTTAGATTGTCATATTATTTCAGGTTAGTGGACAAATGAAATAACCACACATTCCCAAAGCCTTTGTAAGGCCTTGTAAAGCCTTTACACATCTTGTGGTACATGTGAACTCTCTCTGGAAATGTTGAATACATTAAACAGTGGCACACCATATCTGCACATGTTGTCCAAGTGCGAGCCATCGGCGTGCTCCTCGAGACAAGTCACAAGTTCCTCAACGCACCTCGAGCACTCCATCCCCGACATGAAAATATACACTTGGTTCAGCATGTTTCAGCTGACTCCAAACTACTGAAGTTTGTGTTAGAAGCTTTGGTTTCTGGTCCTCATGAATATATCCTCTTGTAGAAACTGGTTGTGCCAAAAGGTGTTGAAGTGACTAACCCCAGAGAAAGAGGCTGGATAATCAACCCCATGGGAGAAAAGAAGCCTTTCCCTATTTGGATGATGGGGGCCTGCTGTATCCCTGCTTTGCTCGTCTTCATTCTCATCTTCATGGAGTCCCAGATTACTACGTGAGTTTAACTTTGTAGGATAATATGGCTGCTATAAGCACTTTATGTGAGAAGAGTCATGTATGAGAGGTGTCCTGTTTTGTATTCCAGGCTGATCGTGAGCAAACCTGAAAGGAAAATGGTGAAAGGCTCTGGTTTTCATTTTGATCTTCTCCTCCTGGTCACCATGGGAGGCATTTCCTCCATCTTTGGGGTGCCCTGGCTGAGTGCTGCTACCGTGCGCTCCGTTACCCATGCCAACGCTCTCACCGTCATGTCCAAGGGCCCCAAACCAGAGATAGAGAAAGTAGTTGAGCAGAGGATCAGTGGAATGTTTGTGGCCCTCATGGTTGGTAAGTGCTGCCATCTATAGCGTGGGTGCAGGCATGGCATACAACGGATTAGCAACCTTTTTCTGACCACCTTCTTTCTGACTGTCAGGTGTTTCCATTTTCATGGAGCCCATTCTGAAGATGATTCCCATGACAGCCTTGTTTGGTATCTTCCTCTATATGGGTATCACCTCACTGAGTGGAGTCCAGATGTGGGATCGGATGCTTCTGCTGTTTACCCCAAAGAAATACCATCCATCTGATGCCTATGCCACCAGGGTATCAGTCCTACTTGAATTTGATGTTGTTCAAGTGCTAAATCCTTTGTGACTTAGAAGGAGCCACTTTATAAAAAGTAGTAATTTAGTGCTTCTAATCAGGTTTTTCTGAATCATCTTTCCAAAAAATTTTTTTCCAGATTGTTTTGTGCGTGTATGCAACTGACTGGAGTTTTTGTATGTTTAATTTACATCCCCAACAACAGTAACCCTTTAATAATCCTTGCTCTTCATCTGTGCAGGTGAGGACATTGCGGATGCACCTCTTCACTCTGGTCCAGGTCCTATGTCTAGCTGTTCTGTGGGCAGTTAAGCAGAGTCCCTTCTCCCTGGCTCTTCCTTTCTTCCTCATCCTCACCATCCCATTGCGCATGTTGATGACCGGCCGGGTCTTCACTGCCATGGAGATGAAATGTGTAAGGACATTTTGGTGAATTGTTCTCATGCATGGCGTGTAGTGTTCTCTGTTCTAAGAGGATGTTTTTTTGTGTTGCAGCTGGATGCAGATGATGCCAAGGTGAAATTTGATGATGAAACCACAGACGACCTATTGGCATAAACGTAGAACACGTTAGTGTTACTGGAACTTATTTGTCATTTCTAACTGTTCTGTTTTCTTTTGAATCTTGCTTTTCATCACAATTATTCACACAAATTCCAGGAGACAATTAATAGAGCCAGAAACAAAAGTCCAATTTCAATGTCTTTCTTTTATTTTTTACACATAAAATTATGACATATTTAATGTTTTTACACGTAATAATAGTAATAGCTTTTCACATAATGTGATCTTTAATCTAAGATCAGAGGCCCTTTACGCAATGCAAGCAGATGTATCCATTTAGCTTTCAGTATGACTCTAGTATGACCTTTTAGTGACCTTGCTGTTGTTTTATCTGTGCCTGTGTTAAAACTTAAGCTGCTTGAGCTCATTCAATTAGATATTTATGGTGACACAACAGAGTTTTGTGACAGTCTACCTGCATTGAATTTGTTATTCTCAAAAATATTATAAGTTGTGTTTTTCAAGTTTGCTCCATTTGTGTTTTCCTCATGTAACCTGTTAAGTTGCCTGTTAAGAATGTGTGTATAAATATGTTTTGTTCATATATATCAGATTTTAGTGTGTAAATGCTTTCATGGTGATAATCATGCAACAAGCAAAAATAAGAGGCCTAGAATAAAATAATTGTCTGAGGAGACTGTTGCATAAGGGAACATTTTCCTTTTGTTTTGCCTCAAACTTTGTGTGTTTGAACCACTGTACATGCTTTGGATTTCCCTTAACTAAAAAAAAACAACTTTAAAACGATTTTTTTTTTCATAAATGCTATGTTTACATATTTTTCATGCTTTAAGCCAAAGTTCTAGGCTGCTTTCAAGGTGATCACGTAAATCCCAGTACTATAAAGTTTTTATTCAAAACTAGTGGATGGCGACTTGTTTGCCAAGAGTCTTAATGAGATAAATTATAGTAAGATTGTTCCTCAGAGAGAAATGTGTTCGTTATTCTTATATTATGTTTAAAATACTATTTAAAACATAAACGTTCTAAAAACATGATACGCAAGCATAATATTCTACATGGGAAAATTACTATTTTAGCTGCCTTTTTATCCTGCCAATAGGTTAAATAGTTGGTTTTATTTTTAAGTCTAGTATTGTCTAGTTTTATTCAGCCATATTTCATGATTTCAATCTTCATCAAAGGCAAAACAAAAAAGTAATTAACAATTACACGTTAAATTCGATTTAATACACTTTGTAACCACATACAGGAAACATGATATAAATTACTGTGAAAGATAAATACGAACAGGATAATTGAAATTTAAGGTAAACAAAAAAGATAACACAATTGAATTCTTCAAACTATATTATATAATTTTAATTGTAATTGTAGAAGTTTATTTAAACAGTGACAGTGCACAACTTGACATTAACCACAAAAGAAAGATGCAATGTACCAGGTTATAGTGGGGATGCTAATTTCCACCTGTAGTCCCTGGGAAGGTTGATATTAAAATCACTAAACTAAAACAAAAGACGACTGTTTTTGTCCAGTTAGCTAAATTCCTGACACTAATCCAATAATACTTTATTCCTACTGCAAGTGAACATAGCACAGTTTAACAAGACTGAGTGCCTGAAAGTCTTTGTTTTCCTTCAATCGGACGGACTGGATTGGACGGCCGGGGGTTCCGCCCACAAACACACAAGGTGGAGTTGAAAAAATAACATGCTGGGCTAAAATGAAGCTGTCAAACAACCAGTTACGTTTGAGTCAAAGAGGTTTGGTGCCGGGGGAACGGCACGGACACCGGAAATAAGAGTTAGGAGAATAATCAGACACTGATTGGTGTCAATTATAAACTTTAAAGATGTGTGCGTTCAATGAAAAAAAGTTCACTGGTGGCGTTTAAATTAGGTAACCAGTAAAGCGACTTTTCTTTCAAGTGTAGGCAGACGAAATGTTAGAGATGCAAACTTCGGTGGGAGACGTGAAAGTCGGGCTCGATGAGAAACAATAAACTCTGCTGGCTGAGCTCAGAAAATCAGCGGCGTTAACACTGGGGAACATGGGGATGTGTCGGTGTAGCGGAAATGGTTGGATGGAGAGAAGAGCTGCTGCACGTTGACTGGAGGGAGACCGCGAGAGAGATGGAGGCGGGGGGAAGGACCATCTCTGCGGGGACTGGAGCCCAGGACCGACGGCGCAGTGCTGGCTATCGTTCAACCCTCCCCTTCTTCATCCACAGCGACGCGGAGGCTCGCGCCGAGACAGGTAAGCAGCACGAAAGTCGGTCGGTTTCATAACCACACGTGGAAAGAGCGCGATAAACAAACCAGAAAAGCGGTTAAAAGTCGAAAAATAGACATTCTGTTTTTAATGTTGTCTACCAAAGCTCCTTAGGCGGCAGGATCTTTGTGGTAACGAAACAAACTCCCCGCTGGAAGGGCGCAGACGAGGTCGGCCTTACCCGAATTTCTCTGCCCAAACAGCGGGGAAGAAGCTGGATGTAAGACCCAGTGGTATGATGTCTACTATAAATTACACCCAGTGAATTCATGAAGCGAATTAGTTTCACGTAGCATCGGGATTTAGCTAAGCAATCGTTTGTTTCGCGTGGGGAAATGTTTTCCGGTAGTTTCCGCGCCGAGACCTCCACGCGGCTGTTGGCGGAACAGCTAACCGCCTCTCGGTCAGCCATCAGGGATCTCGGTTTAATATCTCACCGTGAGGAGACTCGCCCTCCCCTCTCCCCCTCTCTCTCTCACTGACTAGCCCAGAACCACCGACAACCGAGCTCGGAGAACCCGCCTTTCCGTCCTCGCTTATGCGCTTTTTGGAGCTAGGGAAGGGAGTCTGCAACGCCCCGGCTAGAGCTTTCGGCTCCGTTTTCAGTGTTCGCAGTACGCCATTGGACCTTGTCACGGTAGGTTTGCTTACAAGAGCGGGGCTGGTAGCATGGCGGACCTGGAGCCGTTTTGTCGCGCCAGAGAAGCTGCTCAGCCGCGGATTGTTCTTTAGATATCCGATAATGAAAGAGCCGATTAAAGCCCACATTTTCCTCGAAACGGAGAATAACTAACACTAACATGAAGTAATTCAAAATTAGGTCAATAATGTTGTTTCACCGTACATATATTTTTTATTTTAATTATGTTTCGCGCCTCCGCAAATAATTTAACCTAACATTTATTAATTTTCGATCTGGTGTAACTTAATTTAGAATATTTTGGAGCATTTTGTATGGTTGTCAAATAATTCATGTTAATTATACGTTGTAAACACAAGTTAATGTGATCCCTAAATCGTCCTTGTGTGACACAAATTTTGATTAGTAGCAAATACTGTTGACTAACTGTGCTACCTTAGATGCTGGTATGATTTTAGGCTTCTTTTCGACATGCTAAGTTACACGGCGTCTTGTTTTTTTTCCACATTTATGTCGTATTTTTGACTAAACGTCATAAATCCGACGTTTGAATTTGACATTCTGCGCATTTTACATAAGAAATATGTCGAAAGTAGTGTTAGAAACGACGCGAGGAGACACGGTTGAGCTATCAAGGACAAGATGAACAACGGTCATCCGCCATCATTGGAGCACAGCTCGGCTACGCCTCGCTGAAGAATGCTCTGGCTTTTTGGTCCAAAAAACAACTGCGTGATACCACAAAGCGAACAAAATGTTGAGTGAATTATTCTAAAACGCACACATAAACCCCCTCACGCGTAGAATGCTAGTTTAGTCGTTCTTGTTTTGGGTAAACATTAGTGGAGAAGACTTTAGGGCTGCGTGGCGGAGCTAGATCCACGTCCAACGGTGATGAGGCGTCTCCGCCGAGTGGCGCATTTGGCTGCAGTGCTTCCAAGCTGCCATTCCAGGCTGTCGGAGACCGAAAGCAGATCCCCCGTCCGTGGTCAGCTGGTCGCCTACAGCTGCCTGTCTGTCCACGTTCATTCGCTTCCTCCTTCCGTGGATCCTCCCCAACCTCCGCTCCGACAGAAAGTCCTCCATTACCGAGCAGACCGAGCGAGAAAATGGTCGCTCCTGAGCGTCCACGATACTTCTGTTGTAGAATAAGGACAGCACTAATTCGCCAAATTCCGGTTGGCCAAAAAATAAAAAATAAATAAAAAAGAAGCTCGACAGGGACTCCTGTTGTCGTCGCTAGATATGCTTAGTTGAAGCCCTCCGCAGTGTTATTTGAGATTTGAAGCCGTCACAAGCAATAGCCTATGCCTCACCATGCAGCGTAAACGTTTAGGGGCGGTGTAATGAACATAAACCATTATGTCGGCACACATTTCAACTCAAACGACTTACAACAGAGATCAGTTATAATAAAGTTAGAAAATATGAATTTTAGTGATTTTGATTAATTTATTGTTTCTTTTGTAGTTCAAAAATCGCATTTTCACAAATGAATGGAGAAATGGAGGCAGCGACACATGACCAAGGTAGTATATTTATGAGTCATTTTTATTTATATATATTTTTTTAACAAATGACAAATACTTGTATAATCACGAAATTGTTTTAATGAATTCCACATTTTGTCATCATACTATAAACATAATGCAACCATACTAATAAATCCATGAACCAGTTTACATGTATTTTTTTATCAGTGTGGTCGCAGGATGACCTCCTAAAGCTGCTGGAGGCCATGAAAGTGGCTCTGCCACAGAAAGATCTGACTAAATACAAAACATCCGAGTCCCATCTGGACTGGCAGAAGGTGGCCTTCAACTCCTACACTGCAGAGATGTGTAAACAGAAATGGCAAGAGGTCTCTAAAGAGGTGAGATGCTCAGATCATGATTTTTAGGTCGTAAACCTTTTCAGATGTAATATTTAGATTAAGTTCTTAAAGAGGTCCTCCAATGAGAAACAAGTTTGTCTTATTTTTGGAAATGATCTGTTACATTACGTTTAACATGCAGAAAATAGTCTCCTGCTTTAGCTTCTGATAGAAAACAGACGGAACTCTAGGATTTGAAGGTCCTGACAGATCTACGTCACACTGTCACTTCACATTCAAGGACCCGCCTACCTTGACTCACAAAAGGGAAAGATGTTGTTGGTTTACTGTCCAGGAAACAGCGACTCGACTAGTAGAAGCTAAACGTTAGCATTAGCAACACCACCGCACAGCAGAAGTCCTCCAGCCTTGTGTTATTTGTGGAGCTAAAACCTCCACGTTGCAATGCAAATGGAGTCAGTGGTTGAGTCGTGTTGCTGTTAGCCATTCAGAGGAGAGATGGCCAAATATCAGGAAATAAGTCTAGTTCCTGGAAATGGTGCACAGAAACTTTTTTCCCCAGAGTATGACTTACAAGGCATTCATTCCTACTAGAGGCCACTGCAAATTTAATAAAATGTGAGTGAAGTGCCTCTTTAACAAGTTCTTTTCTTCCAAACAGATCCGTAAGTTCAGAACTCTCACAGAGCTGATCTTTGATGCTCAGGACTACATCAGAAACCCTTATAAAGGCAAAAAAATCAAGGTGAGTTCAAATTAAAATGTGCAAATAAAGATGATCTGTTTGAGTGGAGCTAAAGACCTGAGTTTTGTCTTTTGTCAATACACAGAAGCATCCAGATTTCCCCAAGAAGCCTTTGACTCCATACTTTCGTTTCTTCATGGAAAAAAGAGCCAAATATGCTAAGTTGCACCCTGAGATGAGCAACTTGGATCTCACTAAGATCCTGTCCAAGAAGTACAGAGAGCTACCAGACAAAAAGAAGGTCAGCTGGATACAGAAAATAAATTGCTTTCATTTAAACCCTTTTTTTTATTATTCATTTATTTAGAAAATGTTCTTGTCATGACAGAAAAAGTATGTTGATGATTTCCTACGAGACAAGGAAACCTTTGTGCAAAGCATGATGAAATTCAGGTGAGATTTATTAAAGTCTTTATTAGGGCTGCAGCTATCGAATCTTTTTGTAATCGAGTACTCTATTGAATATTTATCAATTAATCGAGTACTCTAATAAATTACTCTTGCGTTTTTAAACCATTGTATAAAATAGCATGTTATAAAATATGAAACACCTCTTGAAATGAGAAAGCAATTGCCAGTTATTCTTCAAGTTTTATTCAAATTTAGTTTTCATAACTTCAGCACTTCAACTTTACTTCACAGTAAACAAATGCGAGCGGCTGCGGCCCAGACAGCACCAGAACCGCTCACAGCGCTTGCGCAAACATGGCTCGCCAGCTGTTTCCCTATTAACACACGTCCATTTTAATTTCTACACTTAGTTTTCTCACGCTAACAAGGATTGTCGAGAAAGCATGTTTGCCGTGGTTATGTCTCATTATACTGATCACACAACATTTATTTACTTTCTTTCGTTTTCCTCCGTCACTCATAAATACCCGTGTCCTCCTGCAGCAATCCCGAGGGACAACGGACATCAACAAACAACACAGTAAAAAGTCCGACGTGTTGTAAAAACTGCTATTTTTAGCACATTTTAAGATGGACGTGTTGCTAGCAGACGTACGGTGTGGGCTGAAACCAACTGCTACAAACGAAAAATTCGCACAGTGGTCTGCAGAATAGAAATACAGGCTAAAATGCATTAATTTAATTTAATCAATTTCCCTCTGGGATTAATAAAGTATTTTTGAATTGAATTATCTTGTAGAGGCTCCGAGTCCGCTTGCAGAAGAGACATTTACATGTGGATGTTTCCTGGTCAGGTGCTGCAGCATGGAGGATGTGGTGTTGTAGGCTAAATCCATTTTACAGTATTTACACTGGACTACGTTTTCCGCCTTACGAAGTGAAAAATGGTCCCACACCTTTGACATTTCCTGTTTTTTTCGCACTCCACCGGGGTCCACGTTGTCCGCCATGGCTTAAGAGAAAGTGAAGTTACGTTCGCTACTCGCGTGTGCATTCAGTGCAGTGTGTATGTGCGTCACTTATTTCGGTCCGGGTGAAACATGACCACGGGCGATTGCAAAGCCATGAATTAATTAAACATGAATTAAACGAAGCCTGGAGGCAGAGAATTTGACTCGAGGATTTTTTGTACTCTAATTATTCGAGGTACTCAAATCGTTTCAGCCCTAGTCTTTATTTTAGGAACAGTGGAGTGTTTTAAGCTGGCATGTACAGAACAGACAGGATGATAACTGCATCTAATTGATTTGTGATGCATTAACAGGGAAGAACATCCAGATCTTATGGAGAGCATGACCAAGAAGGGTTCAAATGTTCCAGAAAAACCCAAGACACCCCAACAGCTGTGGTACAACCACGAGAAGAAGGCATTCCTCAAGACACATCCAGATGTAAGATTGGGAATTTAGAAGTGATGAGAGCCAGCTTCTAACTCTTGTTTTGTTCCTGAGAGGTTAACGGTGGGATGGTCTGATTTCAGGCCACCACCAAAGACATCAAGGACAGTCTTGGTAAACAGTGGACGCAGCTGTCCGACAAAAAGAGACTCAAGTGGATCGCCAAGTCCCTAGAGCAACAGAAACTATACGAGGTCAGCTTACATACAGATACTCAGTGTTTTACCGTAAGTCATCATTTGTAGCAGCGTTTTTGTTGTTGAATGTGTTTGTGTGTAGGAAGCGATGCGGGGATACATCCAGCAGCACCCAGAGTTGAACATGACCCAGGAGGACATCATAAAGTCCACTCTGACCAAGGCAGAGCGACACCTGAAAGACAAGTCAGACGGCCGACCCGATAAACCTCCTCCGTAAGTCCCAGTCGGACGAGACTGCTGCCCCTGTGGCGCGTGAGCAGGTCCCTTAAACAGCAGCTGTGTTGTGTGAACGTTTTCAGGAATGGTTATTCAATGTTCTGCGCGGAGCTGATGTCCAGCATGAAGGACGTTCCAAGCACAGAGCGCATGGTGATGTGTAGCCAGAGGTGGAAGCTGCTGAGACAGACCGAGAAGGATGCTTATCAGAAGCGCTGTGAGCAAGTGAGTGCATAAACGTCTGCTCGCCTGGCTGAAAGCAAAAGAAGGTCTCTGGTTTTGTCTAAAAACGCTCTTTATGTTTCATTTTCAGAGAAAGAAGGATTATGAAGTTGAAATGAACAAATTTCTCAGCGTAAGTCTTAAACCCGTCCTTCTGCTCTTTCAGACGTTTTCGAATTAAAGAATTAAATAAATGTGTCTGTTCAGACGATATCAGCGGAGGAGCAGCAGCGAGTCTTGGGCGAGGAGAAACCAGGTTGTAAGAAGGGCGCCGGAGCCAACAGTCCTGCATCTAAAAAGAAAAATGCTAAAGCCAAGGTAAGCTTGTGCTAAAAGGTAAAGCTAGGTTTCAAATGTCAACATGCTTTAGGTTCATGTTGATTGTGGTTGTGTTGTGATTTTTCACACACCTGCTTTCCGTAGACCAGTCCCGAGAAACCCAAACGGCCCATCTCTGCCATGTTCATCTTTGCCGAGGAGAAACGTCCCAAACTGCATCAGGAGCGTCCGGATCTTTCTGAGAGCGAACTCACCAGATTTCTGGCGCGCATGTGGAACGAGCTGCCTGATAAGAAGAAGGTAAGTGAAACGCTCAGGAGATGCCACGACTGTCGGGACGTATTCAAAAGATCTGGTTCCCTTTATGCTTCAGGAGAAGTACAAACGCTTGGAAATGGTGCTAAAAGCAGAGTCGGAGAGAAAGGAGAAGGAAGATCGAAGTCGTTTACCAGATCCGCCCAAGACCGCTCAGGAGATCTGGCAGCAGAGTGTTATAGGAGACTACCTGGCCAGATTTAAGGTGGGAGTTATGAACTAGAAGTTGTTTTAGTCCTTGGATTATGAGTCGGTTAATGATTTTAACTTGAGTCTGGATTCTGCAGAGCGACCGACCGAGAGCGCAGAAAGCAATGGAAGCAGCCTGGAGCTCCATGGAGAAGAAGGAGAAGATCATGTGGATCAAAAAAGCTGCAGAAGACCAGAAAAGATACGAGGTTAGGATCAGCCTTCATGTCCTCCACAGCAAGCACACACAGGACTAGTGAGAGCTAACTGACTCTACCATCTCCCGCAGAGGGACCTGTGTGAGATGCGCTCTCCTGCCGCCAACGTGGCCGCCGTCAAAAAGATGAAGTTTGAAGGGGAACCTAAGAAGCCTCCATCGTAAGTTTGTGACATCCACATTTTCTGTTTGATTTGCATCTGTCAGAAGTACAACCTGACGTTCGTCTTCCTGGTTCCGCTCTAGAAACGGTTATCAGAAGTTTTCCCAGGAGATGCTGTCTAACGGGGAGCTGAATCACCTCCCCATGAAAGAGCGGATGACCGAGATCGGCAGCCGGTGGCAGAGGTTGTCGCTGAAGGACAAGGACCGCTACAAGAAGATCGCAGAGGAGAAGCAGAAGCAGTACAAAGTTCTACTGGAGCAGTGGCTCGCTGTAAGGATTTGATGTTGTTGGACGAAGTCAGGAAAATGAAATGAGTTTAAAATTCATACCTGCTGATGTGTCTGCAGAGCTTATCTTCACAAGAGCGAAACACCTACAAAGAGTATAATTCACAAGTGAGTTTTCACCGTCAGAATTGTGTGTTTTGTTCTAATTATCTTCAAGGCCTTGTTCTTCAATCTGATTCTGTTGTTCTCAGAAAAGAAGAGCTCCAGCCAAACCTGGAGGCACCAAAGCAAAGTTTAAGAAATCAGTGAGTGTTTCTGCTCGGCTTCCTGCGGTAGAGGAAGACCTCCCCCAGATACGTGACCTGTAACCTGTCTCCTAACAGGACACGGAGGAAGAGGAAGATGACGATGATGACGACGAGGACGATGATGACGACGAGCAGGAAAAGGCTTCCTCTGAGGCAGACTCATCCAGTGAGGAGGAGGATGATGACGATGATGACGATGACGTAATTCAATTCAAGTTTATTTATATAGCGCCAAATCACGACAAGAGTCGTCTCAAGGCACTTCACATAATAAACATTCCAATTCAGGTCAGCTCATTAAGCCAATCAGAAATAATGTTTCCTATATAAGGAACCCAGCAAATTGCCTCAAGTCACTGACTAGTGTCAGAGACTTGAGGCAATCCTCATACTAAGCAAACATTTAGCGACAGTGGAGAGGAAAACTCCCTTTTAACAGGAAGAAACCTCCAGAGAATCCTGGCTCAGTATAAGCAGCCATCCTCCACGACTCACTGGGGATCAAGAAGACAGAGCACACACACACACACACACACACACACACACACACACACACACACACACACACACACACACACACACACACACACACACACACACACACACACACACACAAAGTAATGTGTCTATAGTTACATTGTGATGTCTTAGTAAATATTCTATTTGGTGAGAGATAAACTTTATTGTATTTATCCTAGTGGATCTAATTAAACGGGTAAACTAGTAGTAGCACATGTAAGTGAAAATTGTTATAATTAGTACATTTTCATTAAGTGATAATTATGCTTTTATTCTTGGCCTAAAGAATGAAGGTGAGGATGATGAGGAGGAGGAGGAAGATGAAGATGAAGTGGAGGACAAGGAGAACAAATCAGAGGACAGCAGCAGCGAGTCAAACTCGGAAGGATCGTCGGACTCAGATTCGGACTGAATTCGTCTTTAGACTAACTGAGCGGCGCTGAGCTGAGCCAGAAGTCCAGGGAGGTCTGCCACTGTGCCAACCGTACTCCTCCCACCAGAGGAAGCCCCCCCCCCCCCCCCCCCCCCCCAATCTTCCATCTCACACTCTTCATGCTGCTGCGGCAGAGAGACCCTGGCCCCAGAATCGGCCCAACCTCCCAGGTGTGATGGTCCTTTCAGCACCAGTTAACCCACTGACATAAACCAAAAACATCCCACTGGTTTGGTGATGTCCTGAACATTTCTGCCCAGAGTTCAGTCGTCTTTTATGCGTCCGATGGTAACAGTGAGAACGGTAGTCTCTGCAGGGTGACCAGTTACCCTCTGGTTTATTTTCCTCTGGAGACGGAAGTAAAGCAACAGGAGTTCTAGAACTGGCTTCTTTGAGCCAAAGAAGAATCAAGGTCACTTCAGGGAGGGGCGCCATGGGGAGTGTGCAGGACACTGATGAAAATTGCACTCTTCTGAATGTTTTCTGTAATGTTTCTTCCAGAGGGTTGTTTCTTTGTTCTCTATTCTTACGACGAGGTGTAGATTTTATGGATTGGTTCTTGCAGAAGTGTTTTTTCAGGAAAACAAGTCAAGCCATCAAGAATGTGTTTTTGTTGCTGGAAGTTTTCAGATTCCCTTACTTAGCACTGTTCTCTGCCCGTTGACGGCTTTCATTTAACTTTGAGTTGGAGAGGATGTTCCACAGCGTTCAGCATAAACCAGAGGAAATGTGGAAACACTTGGAGAATCCAGTGGTTTGTTCTAATAAACAGGTTCAGGTCAATCATAGGGATTATATTTATATGCTGCAATTTTATTTTTACACGATCCTCTACATTGTAGATGAAAACAAAGTGTTTACAGCTGTAAAGTGACTAAAGGTTTTTAAGTTTTTACTGTAATTTGCAAACTGCTTTGTTTTTCTTTGAATCAACAATTTTCATTGAACATTTGACCAACTTCAGCAGTCTCTGTAACTTTAATTTGATCTTCACACCCCTTGTATGGGCTTGTAGTTTCCATGTTTTGTGTTTTAAACCCCGAACATGAGAACCATCTCCACGCCTGCCGCTGGTCTAAGTCTCACTAATGATTCAGAAGTCTTAAAATATCTCCCATTTTTCAGGTAATTTGTTTCGACTTCAAAAATATGTGTTAACTTGTGTAGCTGGGCTTTCAGTCTATAAATGCAGAGTACGTGCTGTCCACGTCGTTTCTCAGTCTATACCTGCATGTTTTTTCCACAAACTATTTCAGTTCATCTGGTTATCAGTTGGATTTGAGAGAATTTTTGTTCAGATAAAGTAAGAAAATTTGTTTTTATGTTTTTGATTTCACCCCATAAAATTTTAATAGCTGTAATCATAAGTTTTTGCTTATCCAAAAAGAAAAGAAAAAAAACTGCACTTAATGTAAATTTGTTCCTCTGAGTTTATGTGCAAGCATGCACGTGTGTGTGTGTGTGTGTGTTTGCTTTGCTTTAACGTGTGCTGTTCTTGCTATTCTGTTTCAGACCACGATGTGTATACAGTGCAGACATGTGCCTGTTTTGGGGACATCATACCAACACGATGAATGTAGATCGTTTATTTTCCCAAAAGTCTTTGATAACATGTACACACTCGCGACAGGACTTTCATACATTTGGGTTTTGTTTTTCCAGACAGGTTAATGACCTTGCAGCTATTCTTGATCAGTTGGCAATGGAAGGTTTGACCTTTATGATCTCACTGCAGACTGAAACAAAACCAGCATGGGCTATTTCAACAATTGGTGGTGGGAAGGGAGGGGAATGACTGAACAAAAGGGATTTGTTGTGCTGAGTTACTACAGGGGGTGGTAAAAATGTAATTTTCTGTAAATACTGTTTTTGTATTGAGTGCTTATTGTTTTGTTAGTACTTTGATTTTGCAAACCCTCATCTGTGGTTTCTAAGACCAGTGAGTTAATATTTGTTTCAACTCACCTGTTTTACTTCCCTCCCTTGTGTTGGTTTATAGAGATATTTATGACAGCAAAGCTTTACAGGTTTGTACTGCTGGTCATTGGACAGGATTTGATGTTTTATATAGCTGAGGGTGTTCTTATGTCCTTGTAGTTCAAGTATTTGAGCAAATAAAGAAATATCCTGAAAAGGTGTTTTTAATGTAAATAGAAAACAAATGTGTTGAGTAGGAATAATGCAGGATATAATATTTATTTCCTTTTTGGTGCAATTCTTCAAATAGACATCCGTTATTGTGTATCTGTTTTTATTTTTTGTGTGTGCTTAAAAATAGTTACAAGTTTGATAATGGGATTTTAAAACGTAATGTTGATGTTCAACTGATCAGACTAAACTAATTGATTCTATTTATGGAACGACAACTCCACAAATCATTTATGGATGTCTGACGTGAACGAAGACGTCAAATTTACCGTATTAAGTTAAAGCGGGGCAACTGGACTTTCAAAATTAAAGAAGCCTGCTGCTCATGAAAAACAATTTCTCTCGAGGATAGGCACAGTATTATATCTATTCATAGTTTATTTATTTATTTTTGTTTTTTATTCCACAATGCTTTTTTACGATTGATTATAAAAAACAAATTAACCCTATTCTAAAACAAAAATACTTTTAAGTTTTGAAGATGAAACAGGAAGTACGCTTTTCCTCTGCATTCAACTCTTCTGGCCTCGTGACGTCGCTGTCAAACTGGCTTTAACGGTAGTTTAGCTAACCGACACCTGCCGCTGAAGGGAGTTAACGAAGCTATATTTTAACTTACAACATTAACCGTGGTTGCAGCTCTATAGTAATTTTATTTATTTATTTTTTGACGTAGTTTATTTTATGTTGTTTTTTGTTCTCAGAACTGCTACTCAGGCTGATGTTTTCGATTTGACAAGGTAAGCGGAAACAAACTGATGTGCTGTCGAGGTCCTTGTTATTCATTGTATGAATCTCTTTAATAGTTTTGTTTATCCCTATAAATAATCGTGGTAGACCTACACTACAAAGGAAACAAGTTCTAATGTCAAAAATAAGATATGACATCCGTTCAGTTCTTCGGATTATTATTATTTTTTCTTTAAGCAATCTTGTGGGTTTTGGAGTGATAATGAAGACACTAGCATGAAGATGAACAATGAGTTAATCCATTAATAACAATAATAATATCCATAATAATAATAATAATAATGCAAAACCTCACTTTCTGTGCCGCAGATGACCTGGGGAGAGAGTTTGTATTTTCAGGCTATGTCACAGTGAATAATCTATGCACGCCCTCTGTCAGACTGCATCAGGTTTAAGTTTAAATGTTTTCTTTTACAGAATGAAGATATATCTGCAGCAACAATCAATTCATCAATTAAAAGTAGGTGTTCTGAAGTTAATCACCCAGGAAAGTTTCTTATTGAATCACTGATTAGAAATGTGACCATCTCCTGTTTGGAACCTGATCCTCTTCTCAGGACACCATCTTCTGACCTTTCTGTCAACCTTCCCCTGACAGGTTTTCAAATGAAAATGGAGGAAATGCCTCTCTCGAGCCCAGACAACACCAAGCTGGAGGTGAAAACCTTTTAGACTGTATATTCAGACACAAACAGTAGATCTGTTATAATGAACCTGACGTGAGTTTTGTGGTTTCTGCTGTCGCAGGCCTTGATGCACGACATCTACTCTGAGCTGGTGGAAGACGCCTGTTTGGGCCTGTGTTTTGAGGTACATCGAGCCGTGAAACAGGGCTATTTCTTCTTGGGTGAACCTGACCAAGAAAGCATGAAGGAGTTTGGTTGGTGCCTTTTTCTTACGGTTTGTTCGGCGTCATTTGTCTTCAAGCATTTTTACATTATCCCCCCATTTTTATTGATTTTTTTGCTGATTCAGAAATTGTAGATCAACCAGGAGTGGACATTTTCGGCCAGGTGTTTAACCAGTGGAAAAATAAAGAGTGTGAGTGTCCCAACTGCAACAGATTAATCGCAGCTTCTCGCTTTGCTCCTCATCTGGAAAAATGTCTCGGCATGGGACGCAATAGCAGTCGCATCGCCAGTCGCAGGTCAGTCTATGAGGGTCATTGGGAGTACACTTATTATAAGGGAAAGAAAAATGCAATTAGGTTGTTCTTTTTATTTAATTTAGGTTAGCCAGGAACAACATGAGCAAATCTGAGAGCGATCAGGAAGACAACGATGATCTTAATGACAACGACTGGTCCTATGGGGCAGAAAAGAAAGGTGAGCCTGTACCTGATGTGCATGGAATCATTAAGAAAGGCTCCATTAATAAGAAATAAACTTGTTGCACACTATTTTTTAGCCAAGAAGAGACGATCAGACAAGGTATTTTAACATTTATTATTCTATTTGTACACAACATGGAAGCAATATAGTTTGCAACAAGTTATTATAATCTCTAACTTTTTTTTTATTTTGCTGCAGAATCAAAACTCCCCACGAAGGTCCAAATCTCTGAAACCCAAAAATGGTGAGAAGGTCTTAGTGAAGAGAAGTATAGTTATTTCTAAGCTTCAGACTTCAGATCAGGATGTTGTTTATAGGCAGCTTTGTCTCCGTCGCAGGAAGTCAGAACTGTTGAATTCAGAACCACAGCAGGATGAGCAGTCGGAGCCGTTTCGGTGTCATAACAGCTGAAATCTAAAGTTGGTTTGAAATGTGACATGAAAACGTTCAGCTGCTCTTTTTGGGGGTTTCTTTCAGGTGAGATTGGGAGTAGCATCAACTCGGAGTCGCACAAGGTGACTAGTCCTCAAACATTTCATTTGTTTTAAGTGAATGATGACCAGTGTTGGGCAAGTTACTTCAAAACTGTAATGCATTATTTATTACTTGTTACCCTCATTTTAAAGTAATTCATTACATTGCAATATTACTGATTTAAAAATGTAAGGCATTACACTACTTTTGCATTACTTCAAGTTACTTTCACCAAAACAACTTCAATATGAATCTGGTCATGTGACGCTCAGTGAGCTTATGACATATATGTGGAAAGTGATGTGGTGTCTGAGCTAGGATTGCTGTTAAAAACAGTCAGATATAATAACAGTGCTTTAAAATGATTGTTTATTAAATAAAAGCAACAACAATCTGTACTCTCAGCACGCTGCCATCTTATATTAACTGAGCAGGGAGTGAGGTGGTGGGGGCTCCAAGCCTATATTTACCTTTGTCCCCAAATGCCTTGATACGGCCCTGGATGTGGGACTGACTTCTGGGGTGATCTGATTCTATCACATGTATAAATTTTAAATGCTTATATAGATTATTGCTTTTCACTGGTAAAAATGTGTATTGGGGATAAATCTACCTACCTTTTTTCTTTTTTTCTTGATTTTATTTGAATAATTTCCTGCCCTTTCTCTCTCTAACCTTCCTGCATGCTGCATGTTTTCTCCGTCTTCCAGAAAAAACTGTTTCCTAGATTTCCTACTTTCTAACTAATCAGCCAAAGGGATCTACCGAACCAGTTGCAATGAGTTGAAATCACCGGGGCACAGATTATGAACTCAGCTGAAAAGTACATGAAGTACCAGAGAATATGGGCTGATATAAACGATCGCAAACAAATGACTTTGTTTTGGTGGAGCGATTTTGTGAATATAACAGCGGCCGCGCGCAGGATGCAGCTGGAGTATTTGAGCCATTACCGCTGCGTCCTCTCTGCTCATAGAATGCCCGCAAAGCTGAGTCCATAAATGACGTCATAAATGTGGATACTTGATCTTTTTTCAGGCTTCCCGCAATTTGAATTTTTAGAAAACCCACATCTTGATTCTGGGTTTAAAATGCATTGTAATTACCGCGTTACTGACAATTATACACAGTAAATATTACCATTTTCTTTCCCTGTAATGCCTTACATTACCACATTACAGCAAAAAGCAATGCATTACAGTAATTAATTACTTTTGTACCACGTTACTCCCAACACTGATGCTGACACAATATTGATAACCTTTGCTTTAATGTTTCATTTCAGTACAACCATAACACTGGGATCAGCTATGAAAGTTTAGGTCCTGAGGAAGTCCGCTCCCTGTTAACAATGGTGTGTGACTTTCAGGAACAAACCCAGACACTAACATTTATATACAGCATTCATAATTTTATACCTGGCTTCGATTTCTTATTTGATTATTCTGTTATTACAGCGATGTGGGGTGATCTCGGAGCACACCAAGAAGATGTGTACAAGGTAACTTGATCCAGACAGAGTGGTGATGATGAAACCATTCACTTTACTTTACGATCGAATGAATCAGATAACCTGTTTAGTGTTAAATCCTGATTCTGTGGTGAGCAACTTTAGGTCCTGTCGCTGATCTAGAGATGTTAAATGATCCTATAACTCAGCTACACGAGTGGCAGCGCACATTTAGTTCCTCTAGTGACCGACTTGTTCATTTATTTAAAATAAGTCAAGATTTTGCAAAAGTTTCCAAATTTGCACCCAAAATAAGTTAACCACAACAATTTTATTAGTAAGACTTGAATTATTAGGATATAAAAAGAGTTTATTCAAGGTTGTACTGATCAAATTTTAGGCGTCACATTTTTTAACATTCTAATAATGAAACATTAGATATTAAGGGGAATGAGCTTTATTTTTGATGCCCATACTTTAGTTAAATAGGGGACTCCATCAGTAACTAAACTCTGCTCCACCTGACTGGTCACTGACTGTCCCCCCAGCAGTCTGTCCCACCTCCTGCACACGGGGGCTGATTTTCAAGACGCTAACTCCTCTGACTCAAATGCAGAGTAGCAGAGGAGGATGTAGAGGAGTGTCAGCATATTGAAAAGCAGCCCAGGAGATAGGGGTGTGTGGGCGGGCCGTCAGCCAGGGATGTAAAATGCCAGCTTATGTCCCTCCAGGTCTCAGCGATGTCCCCAGCACACAGACGAACAGAGGAGGGCCGTCAGGGTGTTCCTCCTGGGGCCGTCTGCGTGAGTGTGCCCCGCCCCCTTTCTCACTCAGAGTCAGCTTACTGTTATAACGGGATCCTCGTAGTTCAGGGGGCTGCAAACTGCTTCCGAGTGTAAAAGACTGTGTTGGAAACGCTGATACGGAAGGTCCTCAACATGGACCTTTGCATTCAGAAGGTTCATTATTTAAAAGTTTTAAAAGGTACAGATGAGTTTACTTTTAATAAGTGAATAATCCCGATTACCCATAAGCCTGTTCCCCTTTTTCTTTATACTTATCGCCTGATTTGGAGTAGAATCAGTTCTAGAGCCGTGGCGGTTTGGTGCATTTATTGTCACGTTGCTGGTTTTGAGCACCTAAAAACCCACTCCTCTAAAGGTTTGCTGACATTACCATAGCTACACCCAAGGACATGTTTTCAGATCTTTCTAACTTTGTAGTATTTTCTTTTTACAAACTGTATTTTTTTCTGTCCACATTCAGTTCCTCATAGGGCTGCACTATATTAGGAAAACCTGCGATATGCAATAACAGTGATTCATATTGCGATAAATAAATACTTAACTCAGGAACAAAAAAAAAAACAAAGATACATTTTAAAATGACTAAAAAAAATCATAAAAACGAGAAAAGCAAAAGATGTGAAGAAAGGGGGAAAAGCAAATAAACAAGAAAAGGGAATCAGTGGATCCCGGGAAAAGCAGAAACAGCAGATAGAGCAGAACGAAGCTAACTCGGGTGTTTGCTAACCATCAAAATTAAAGGCAGTCCGCCTCGGGGGCGGGCATCTGACCTATGAGAACCCACCCGATTGGCCTAATGGGTGAAGAGCTCTATTTGATTTGTTAAAAAACATCATGCTTCCGTTTGATTGACAGAATGCAGAATGTGTAGCAAACATTTGAGCTGACCCTTCATTGCAATATTTATCTTTTCTTTGCGATATGTATATTTTACACGCTGATATCACGATAACGATATGTTTACGATATATTGTGCAGCCCTAGGTCCTCATGGACTTTCTCTAAAACTAGCAACAGGAAAATAAAACTGCACACAAGTTATGTCACTGATTAATCCATGGTCATGTGACGCAACAGAATTAAAATTTTTTCAATGAAATTTGACATTTTTATTAATGTATATTTTTGTTTTATTAAGCAATTTGATTTTTTTCTGATAACACTTGTGTGTGTGTGTGTGTGCGTGCGTGTGTGTCCGTGTGTGTGTTTGTGTGTGTCTGTGTCTGTGTCCATGTGTGTGTGTGTGTTTGTGTGTGTCTGTGTCTGTGTCCATGTGTGTGTGTGTGTTTGTGTGTGTCTGTGTCTGTGTCCATGTGTGTGTGTGTGTTTGTGTGTGTCTGTGTCCATGTGTGTGTGTGTGTTTGTGTGTGTTTGTGTGTGTGTCCATGTATGTGTGTGTGTGTGTGTTTGTCTGTGTCCGTGTGTGTGTTTGTGTGTGTGTGTGTGTGTGCGCGTGTCCATGTGTGTGTGTGTGTGTGTGTGTGTGTGTGTGTGTGTGTGTGTGTGTGTGTGTGTGCGCGCGTGTGTTTGTCTGTGTGTGTGTTTTTGTGTGTCCGTGTGTGTGTTTGTGTGTGTGTTCATGTGTGTCCGTGTGTGTGTGTGTGTTTGTGTGTGTCCATGTGTGTGTGTGTGTGTGTGTGTGTGTGTGTGTGTGTGTGTGCGCGCGTGTGTTTGTCTGTGTGTGTGTTTTTGTGTGTCCGTGTGTGTGTTTGTGTGTGTGTTCATGTGTGTCCATGTGTGTGTGTGTTTCTGTGTGTCTGTGTGTGTGTGTGTCCATGTGTATGTGTGTTTCTGTGTATGTGTGTTTCTGTGTGTGTGTGTGCGTGTGTGTGTGTCCATGTGTGTCCGTGTGTGTGTGTGTGTGTTTGTGTGTGTCCATGTGTGTGTGTGTTTCTGTGTGTCTGTGTGTGTGTGTGTCCATGTGTGTGTGTCCATGTGTGTGTGTGTTTCTGTGTGTGCGTGTGTGTTTGTCTGTGTCCATGTGTGTGTTTGTGTGTCCATGTGTGTGTCCATGTGTGTGTGTGTGTGTGTGTGTGTGTGTTTGTGTGTGTGTTGGTGTGTTTTCACCAGGCCAGCGCTGCACAGTGCCGAGTTGGAGAGCCACAGCTTCGACATTCCCGATGGACAGATGAGCCGTCTGCAGTGGGTAGAATCTCCAAACGTGTCTCCGTCTGACTCTGCCTCATCTAAGGCCAGTGAGGATGCTGCTGATGTTTAATTTATCAATGTGAAGATGGCTCATGAATCCTTTTCTCTCCCTCTCACAGGCACTAACCATCCAGATTCTCGGAGGCCCAAGAAGAAGAAGACTCTGAGTCTGAACAGTGGAGGAGGAAGTGGAGGTCTGACAGAAGGAAGTGGAAGCAGTGCTCAGAGTAGCCTCAGCTTATCAAGCAGAAAAAAGAAGCCCAAACTCTCTGCAGCTTTTATTTCAAGCATCTACGATGACTTGAACTAGTTTGTCAGTAAAATCTCACCGGGCGGACGGGTAAGACAGCACTTTGTTACGCATTCAGAGCAGACAGGGATTTGTTTTCCTGCATCATGAACGAATGGTGGCTGGATCATCTGTAAGCACTTAAACCTCAAATATCAGGAGATGTTTAAAATGTTCTATTATTAAGTTTGTTTATTTTGAGATGAAATCGTTCAGGTGAAGAACTAAGCCCGACAAAGCTGTGCAATAAACTTTTCTCTTAAAATGAGATAAAAATAGCATTTAGTGGAAATTATTGTAAATTTATGATGCAGTAGAAATAAATGTGGACAACAGGGTCTTCTGTAGACAAGTCCCTTATTTCCATGAGGCTGTTTTCACCATCTGGTCTTAAAATTCAACATTATATTATTATAATTATTATTAGTTCAGGTGCGATTGTGTCAAGCTTTAAATTAAGAGACTCTTCAGCGTTTTCACACCAAAGCAGTCTTAAGGTGGATTTTTTTTGTGTTATGAACCAGAAAGCAATCGGGGTACACATTTAGTGATCTAAGCTGAATCCGTGTAATTTAGATCATGGTTCATTATTTTTCTTCTTTCTGCCTGTAAATGACATCATACAGGTCATTTTTAGTCCTTATCTAAAACATTTAAAATCGTGTTTTTTTAGAAATGATCTTTCTTTAAAACAACTTTTACAGAAACTTTCTTGTATGATGAGCTGCAGTCTTTAGAGAAAAGGCACAGCTTGATGCAGTTGGGACTAAAAGGTCAGCTAAAGGTTAAAGAGCAAGTCACCCCCAAATAAACTTTTTTTTTTGCTGATAAACTAAATAAACGAGTGTCTAATCGTGCTGCAGACACGTGTAGTCAATAATTTGGCACTTCAGTGCATCTTAGTTAAAATTTAAATATTCTGCCTAAAACTGGCAGTGTTGTGCCGTTGTCAGGTAAAAACTGCACTGTATTTGAATTTAAATCTGCCACCGCTATTGGCTAAGATGTATGCTATGATGTCATCTGGTACATTATGATGTCACAATGCTGTTGTGAGCCTGTGTGTGTGTGTATTTGTTAGCAGCGCCCTCTCTGTCTGCCAGGCAGCAGCATTTGTTGCATTTTTCAAACATGAATTGAGAGTGGAGTTAGAAACTGGTAGGGGTTGACTTGCTCTTTAAAATCAGAATGAATGTCAAGAAGGTGACGGTCAGCCGAGGAGTGATGGAGCTGGTTTCCCTCTGCAGCCACCTGGTCATTCACATCCAACATGATCAGTCTAATGGGACGCTGCTGATGTGATACCACAGTGTGAATAAAGGTAAAAGTAGCGGTGCAGAGGCCAGCAAAGCTATGTTGTGCTGCTGTGTGCACATGTGAGTTATGGGTTATGTCACTGCCATGCGCTGTGATGTTTTTGTGAATAAACGTTTGAACCCACAGACTGACCGATTCAGACCACTGGAACTGGTTTGGTTGGAAATGCTTTAATGTTAGATCCACCTGAAACAAGACAAGTCCAGTATAACCAGGAGGAGTCTGTAAGAGCCAGACATCGCTTCATCTGATGCTAACTTATTATTTACAAGAAACATTTATACAGATTTTTCTCCGAAACGTGTTGAGTAAATGCTTTAATGAGCATATTTCTACAAAGCAGCAAGTCTTGGGCTCGCTCGCAGGCGTTTGCACTGTTTGTTTCTATTCATTCAAATAATATGAGTCAAAGTGGCGACGCGCAACAGTCAGTGGCTTTAAAGGAGTTCTTGTTTAGAAACCAGAACCTCGCTCAAGCAAGTTTCATGAAATTCTACCAGTTAAATATGAGACTAAGTGTTTTAAACATGGTGGTGACCACATAGTCCAAACTGAAAAAATAATGGTGCAGTTAATCCTTATTAACTGCATTTAAACAGTACAGCTTTTTCCTAACAGGCTCACCTTGTTGCAGCATCAGTTCATCTTTCTTCTTTTATTTGAAGCTTTACAATATTTTACTGCATGTGAGAGCCAAGTCGCCGCCTTCTCAGCGGCTGTGCATCCCAAAAATGAGAAAGCTAAAAAACACAGTGACTCCCACAAGGGAGATGGTCGCGGGGGCGGTGAAGAACTGCCTGTAGTTGATACGAAAGTACCACACCACAGCCAGGATCACCACAAACACAGGCACCACCAGGCTGCTGGTGCTGATGGCCACACTTGCAGCTCTCAATCCTCCCGAGGGCCCAGAAGAGACCCCTGTTCCTGCCCCGGGCTGAGCCCCCTCCTCCAGGCTAGCTTCTTGCATGGACTGGGTGATGTGGCAGTGGATCACGCTGTTGTCTGTGATGTTTAGGGAGAACAAAGTCCTCTTGGGGTCCTGCAGCAACTGGCCTCTGAAGATCAATTTGATCTGATGCTCCCGACCAGGAAAGCATTTGCTAAAATAGAAGACGGATAAAATAAAACAAACAGGTCTTAATGTTGAGCAAACAAGCTGCAGACAGCTCAAATCTGTTACAGGGTATCTGCAGGTTTAAAGGAGCCAAATTTAAGACTTTTTAAGACCTTTTTTAAGGCCACTTTGACCAAATTTAAGCAATTTTTTTTATTAAATTTAAGCTATAATTTCCAGCTATTGCCTGGAACCAGTGCTAACCACGTTGTGAACGTGAGATTAGCCATCCAGTTACCATTAATGTTGCACTTCCCCATGGCGCAAGCTCCCACTAGCATGCTCATCTAAAAATAGCCCCCTTTCACAACCAACCGAACGTGTACGGTTCCGCTTACGCCAACATCGTACACAAAAAATGCTGAACTAGAAATTCACGAAAATTTTACAGAAATATAAGAATCTTGTTTAATGGGTCTTTGGTAATTTAAGACCGTTGGAAACTATTTAAGGATTATTTGTAATTTTTAAGGATTATTAAGGCCTTCAATTTGGAAAAGCAAATTTAAGACTTTTTAAGGACCTGCAGATGTGTTTGTGAATGTCATTTGAAAGTATGAAATTAATGTCGGATTAGCTGTGAGGTATTTGTTTTGTTTCTTTACAAACCTTCTCAATATTCCTACTGTATCATGTGGCTCCACCACAGCCACTTCTTCTGAGTCATTTAAAAACTTCAACCGAACAGAGATGGAGGTAGTCGTCCCAGTGGTAGCGATGATGGTTCTGGTCAGAACTGGTGTAGGCTTTACTTGCTTTTTATCTACCCGTTTTAAATCCTCCACTTCCTCCTCCTCCTCATCATCATCATCCTCCTCCACCTCATCACGTTCATCCTCCTCTCCATCAGAAGCATGCAGCCTTCCAGCCTGAGGTTTTTTGCTCTGTATGTCCAGCAGAAGATCAGTCCACACCCCTTCAGCTCCAGCTCCTTCTCCTGTCCCCTCACCCTCTCCTCTCTCAGTCTCAGGCTCACTGTCGTCTGGCTTGTTTTCCTGTGAAGGTGGAGGGGTCTGCTGCTCAGGGGCATCGGCGCCAGCGGGCCCTCCGCTGTAGTTGTCGTGACCTCCCAGTCCTATGAGAGAGGCGTGAGCGCCCACTGTGAGGATGGTGCCCAGTATGTGGTCTCCTCGATCAGCTACGTGGGTGGAAAGCCAAGCCAAGATGAGGGCCAAGCCAAGGAGCAACATGCCCCCCGCTGCTGCTACCTCATCCCCCAACCCATCCATCATGGTCAGTGCAAAGACTGCCATCCCTGTCCTCCAATCCTGCAAGAGACGTGAATATGAGGAATATGACTCAAAAAGGGAACAAGACCAAGTGAAACCACAGCATTTGCATTACTACATATTAACTCGAGTCCACATCTGCCACTAAAATTTAACATTGCACTCGATGTGTGGAAAAATATAACGGGACGCAAACTTGTTGTCCCCTGGTTTCAAGAGCAGAAACCACCAGAATTCAACCATCGTGACGGTCTTTTAGAGAAGGCTCAGAAGTTGCTGCAGGTATTTCCCGAAAACCCTGTTTTCCACCAAACGATGGTAGATATTTAACGAACTCAAACCCAGGTTATTTTGAATCCTAAAAGTAGTATATTTCAATATATAAACATTTAAAGAGTAAATTTAAAACGCATAGTCGTTAACGTAAAAACAAAGGAAGTGACAGTAGCAGATGTCAGTAAAGCTCTCCAGGTCTAAGCTTAGAAACTAATTACATTACTTGACAACAACGTTACACCACGTTTATGTTTATTGACATTCAGTCTTTAACCAGACGATAAAAAGCAGATTTACTGTTCTGCTAAACTGTCATGTTGTAGTTTTTGCTAGCAAGCTAACTTAGCCCTCCAGTTAGCCTAGCTAGCTAGCTGGCTGTCTGAAAAAAACGACCTTCGGCTGTTTACAACCGCATAACTCGGTTACTTTGGCCGCAACAGTTTTCACATTAAACGCAGGCATCGAGTGGACACCTACAGTCCCCCAATCCAGTCTACCTGGAGAAGTCTTACCTGTCAGCCGTAAAGTCAGAGCATGTCTAAACACCAGATTCAGTTCTAGTTAGCAGCTGCGGCTAAAAAAAAAAAAAAAAAAAAGAAAACAAGAATAAACAGTGCAGGCGGTGCGACGTCATCAACAGAAGGAGGAACCGGTTGTTATGGTAACGAGATTAGTTTGTTGCTTCTTTATTTTACTACATTGTGACAGTCAGAGCAGATGGTATCATCACTTCTCCTGGTGTTTATGGAGGTTTCTGATCTGACTTCAGCTCTTCAGGCTTGCTGAAGGTCTTTAGACCGGTTCCCTTCACACATCAGCTGATTCTGCTCACAGGGCACGATTATACCCACAATGCATCTGGGTGCACTATTTCCAGCAGCAAAAGTCGGATCAAGGAATTTATTTTAGGTTTTCTGTCAAACGCTGTGTGGCTGAAGGTAAGAGTGTGAATGAAATGTTTCCATCTAAATATACTCTAAACATGTCTAAATAAAACTCCCTGTTGGTGGATAAAAAGCCACAATGACAATTTAAAAGTATGCAGTTTTTTTATGTAGCCAAGGTTAAAATGTCTGTTTTTAAAAGTGACTTTTTTTTTACTTTTTGGAAAATGGTGTGATGAAAAGGAAACAAGCTTAAATTTATTGCATTTATTTATTCCCACTTTGAAATAAAAGCATTGATTTATATGTAAATACAAGATTAGTCAGGAAAATGGCTTTACCAATGATAAACAATAATATAACTTGTCTAATGTGTCCACAGATGGCACAGAAACATTAAAACTTTACTTTAGAGTCCCATCATTGTACAGCAGCAGATAATCCCTCACTGAGCTGGGAATGTCCAGTTTCCCGACAGCTGAGTGACATCGGGCTCCTAAATGCAGCCGCAAAGCGTGTCGACTCAGATGCTGCAGGGAGCGAGGCGAGGCACTTCGCTGATGCACCAAGTCTAAGAAAGGCCCGTGCTCCTGAGACACAGAGGCAGAAACACACCCACAGTGTGGAGGGTAATCAAAAAGAGAGTTCATTTATATCCTGTCACACATCTTACCTCATACACCTCATCAGACAGAGAGTCCATCCATTCACATGGAGGGAGGGACATGTATGAATTCAGCATCACTTCTAGAACGGCAGGGACCGGAGCACAGAGTTTCAGCATCTGCAAAGACAGCAATGACATCGATATCCCATAACAACGCTGACAAAGAGCCAAGCTGCAATAAAGAGAGGTTAAAGCATTCACTGGCTTTCTTTAAATAAGCTGCATTGTGTTTGCCTTGTTAATAGAGTAAAATTAAACTCACACATTTGTTTCCAAAAAGTATTTATGTATAAAATGAACAATCAAATAGAGTGAAATGGTCTACAGATAATCTATTAACTGAGAAAACAAAACAATCAAATGAGCCAAAAATGTTAAAAAAAAGAACAAAAATCATATTTCTGTAAAAAAATATAGATGTTATAGTTTGTGTTTAGTTCACCGAAGTGTAGGGTAGAATATCATCAACTGAGCACATATTTGTAAAAACCAACAATAAAAACTAAGTGAAGCTTGTGTTTTTATGCAGTGTGGCTGTCTGCATGAACCTTTGGTGAAACAGGTTTGGCTCCGTGGTTCAGAAGGGATCGCGCTATCTCCTCAGGTTGTTGGGTTTGGTAGTCTTCCACCACCTTTAGAGCCAAGCAGAAGTTTTGTTTTTATTTAAATAAAACATCTCTGACTGTCTCTATGGTGACTGCACATGCAGTGTTAAATGTTCATGTCAGCTACCTGCAACAGACAGTCCATTGGAGTGTACCCTGCACAGTTTTTAATGTCGGCTTTAGCTCCGTGCAGCAGGAGAACATCTGCAATTCTGGAGCAGCAGTTTGCACAGGCGTTGTGCAGCGGGGTGTGCCGTTTCCTGCCCGCAGTTTGGGGATCAGCTCCTGCACCCAGCAGCTTCTGGATCACTCGAAGATAGCGCCCTGCTTCAGAAGGCCTTTCCGCTCTGGAGCATGCAGCATTCAGAGGAGTCTCGCCCTCCTGATTAGTGGCTAAAACATCTGCTCCATGGCTGAGAAATAGCTCCACATGCTCCTCCAGGCCTCGCTGGGCAGCCACATGCAGAGGTGTAAGCCTCGACTCCCGACTCCTTATGTTGACGTTTGCACCTCCTTCCAGAAGCAACTTGGCACAGCTGGAAAACATCAAGATACAAATGGAAAACATTTAAAATAACACGATTCCACATTGGGTTCAAAAGGTCATTCTTACTGGAACGACAGTGCAGAGGTACAGAGGTGAAGAGGGGCGCTGCCGTCTGCTGACAACCGTTCAGAGTCTGCTCCATGAGACAGCAACAGCTGGACACAAACAGAGTGGGCTCCGGTACATGCATCGTGTAGAGCGGTGTTTCCTCCAGGGTCAGCGTTAACCTCAGCTCCACGAAACAGCAGCTCCTCCACACACGCTGCATGTCCCCTGCTGGCAGCCAGGTGTAAGGCTGTAGTTTGTCTCACCTTGGAGCTCAGCGTCCACATTCCTGACAGAGGGCAGAGAGAATGTTGTTGGTATTGGTGGACATTGTGAAACTAGCATCTCTGAAGTCATACCCATCTCTGGAGCCCACACCATCTCCTCGTGCACTGTCTCCATCAGGGCATTGACCATCGCAGGGTCCTTCAGCACGGCGTAAACTCCCTTCATGTCCCCACACATGAAGGTGTTGTGGATGGCTGTGTCTCTGCAGTGAACTTGGGGTGGAGGGGCTCGTACCTCCTGAAGCCGCCGCTGCCTGGGAGGAAGCCGGGGAGGGCTCGGCAGCGGGGACCTGGTCATGCTTCTTCTATGGGCCAAAGCTCGCCGTGCATCCTCCCATTCTTGGAGCTCCTGCTCCAGTCTGAGTGAGCGCAGCGAGGCAGAGGTGAAAGGAAATGTGTTCTTTGACATGGGATCCTAAAACAAGTCTTATTAAGGTCAAATCTCTGTCGGCTTGATGAACAAACACACTTATGTTGTTAGTTATATAATTTAATCTCAACTCCATACACGATAAGCAGTACTATATCAGCCAAAAAATACCTACTCACCCTTCAGTAGTGCTGTAAGTCAAAAAAAAAATTCTACCATGGATCAAGTGAACACTCACATAACTAGATGTACTGTCTTTTAAAATAACTATAGGATGATTATAACTACATACTGTAAACTATAAACTATAACGATAACACTTCTCCCTTCTTCTGTGGACACAGTCACAAGATAGTTACTCAAATACTAGTTCAGCTCTAGCTATAAATAGAACCAAGTGCAAGCTGATACTAGTCGTATCTCATACGGCCGCTAGATGGCAGTGTCACGCCGAAGGTTATGAAAGCAAAGACGAAAGAAAGACCAAGATGGGTATCAAGTATAATGAGTTGGTCAAAACAACACAGTAGAAAAATGTTGCTGGACGCTGATTACTGACATTTTTGTTGCTTTTTTTCATGACATAAGCTGCATAAATGTTAAATAAAGACGAGTGGAATTTGTAAATACTTCCTGTCTCGTTATTTGCATGTGTAAAGCAGAAAAATGAAGAAAAAGGACAAAACAAAATTCCATGGGGATTTCTCTTCAGATTTGACACGTGAATGCAAGTTGGCTCTGACTGAATAATCCATCTCATTTATACTGTTTAGTAGTGAATTTTAAGTTTTGTCTGTCACAAAAGTTGAATGTTTATTTTTTCATTAATCGAGATGTTTCTAAATTCTTGCATTGTCCTTATTTATTAACTTATGTAATATTATTGAAAAAATAAATCCATTAAATTAAATTAAAGATATCTGTGTTTGAGGCCTGTTCAAAGACGAACAAAGCGAAGCTACCGCAAAAGCGACGAGAAGTGAACCCTCTTTTCCTTCAGCACTCTTTACGTAAACATTTTACGTCATCGCGTACTGTTCAAACGTGGCGGCGGTATCGACCCAGAGCACCAGCACTGTGGCTGCACATTTCTCACTTTTATCAGTTAGTTTGGAGGTTAGATTCGAGATAAGAGCGTTATTAACAACCTGTTATTGAATGGCATTCGACTTTAGCTTGTTGTGTTTGTCTAAACTGGTCAAATACGGGTTTCATCGCGATATTCCATGACTGCGATGGTAAGTTTTAACGCTCACGGCAGCTTGAGCTAAAGTTAGCTAACAAGCACACGGATGAGATGCGCAGTAGAGCTTACCAGGGTTTCTTTAGCTGCTAAAGAACGTTTTATTTGTGGGTTGTTATCTGTTACAGACCTGCAAACTGAGTGGCCTGTTCAGCATCGGAGATGACTTTGATGATGAGGTGACACGCCTGATTCAGCTGATTGTAGCTTGGGTTTCTCATATTCTATAGCTTGTCGTGTTTCTGTCTGTCTTCCTGCGTGTTTGCCCCAGGACCTGCTTAGTACAGACTGGACCGCCTGCTCAGCCTCCGGACCAGCCAGTGTGGCAGCTGCTGTGCCATCCTGCACTCTGCGGGCTTCCTCTGTGGCTGACAGAGAGCCGGAAAAAATCCATCATCAGCAAACTGGAGAGAAATTGGCTGCTGTGTGTAATGGCACAGCATCAGGGAGCAGCGTGCACAGTGCTGCCAGGCAAACTGTTGCTTTGGGTTTGAGACAGCTCTCCTCCTCCTCCGCTCGTCCTCACTCCCCTCCTCCACTCACACTGACTACCTCTCAGCCTAATTTGGCTCAACAGCAGAGCCACGTCAACACTCAGGCGCTGATAAAGCCTCGCATCGCTCAGGATGATTTTGATGATTGGGATGTTGACCTGGCGGACTTGGACGAGTCTGACAACCATATGGGGACACTACAGAAACCTGCTGCTTTCACTCCACCTGCAACTGCAGCGGAACCTCAGTCTGCAGCCAAAACACTGCGTCCCTCGGCCCATGGAGGAAGTCAAACCCTTCATAATCAAACCTTTAGAGAGCTCAGAACTGCATGCAACTCTTCCAGCTCATCAAGTTTTAATGCACCTCCTCGGAGCCCCTGTTCGCCACATCTGCAGTCTTCAAATCCTCGTGCCTTTTATCCTACAACTTCTCCACATACTCCTGCGGTTTTTCTTGGGCTTACTGCACGCTCCCCGACTCCCAGCAGTTTTTCTAGCATTGTAAATCATCCTCATCAGTCACAGAAACAGTGGACTACTCCACGAGCCTCTGCTCAGGCTCGAAATCTGTTTGAAACGGTCTCCCCAGCACCCTCCCCCTCGGTGAGTTCCACCACCCGAAGTACTCATCCTCTACACACACCAGTCCTGACTAATCGCCTGGTTCAGCTGGTATCTGCCTCCAATAAACTCCCCAAGAAGAGACCCCGATCTGAGGCTCACCAGCCCAGGACCAGGCGCTTCCCGGGTCCTGCAGGACTCCTCCCCCAGCAGGTTAGACTCACTGCTGCTGCTCTGCAGTTTGAGCTCTACTGAAATCTCTGAATCCCACTTGTGTTTATATATTTTTTCCCACATTTTAAATTTCTCTTTTCTTTCAGCCTCAGGGTCAGAACCTGGATGAGATAGTGGTTTCTGTTCCTCAGACTCCTGCTCACGGGGTCGTGGCTCGATCACCAAGTCAGGTAAGCAAAACACATGATCGCACCTGGATGATTTTTCTTAATGAATTTTTTGGATGGATGTTTGGAGGTGTTCCAGTCCGGCGTCAGAGCCGGGCACAGCACAGAATCTGCACTTTTAAAGGCTTTAAACGACGTGTTCTTAGCCAATGACGCAGGCGATCCTGTGATTCTGCTCTTTTTAGACCTCTCGGCTGCTTTCGACGCTGCGGGCCATAATATTATTTTATATCAGCTTGAACAGTAGGTGGGAATCACTGAACGTGCACTGGAGTGGGTTATGGGCCATTCCCATCTGTACCGGGTCGGGCCGGGTAGCCCCAGTCGGCCCCAGCCTGGCCCGGTTGATTCCACACATCCTTGCCTTAAGCCCATGTGGGCTGATTCTACCCACCAATCAGAGGCTTGCTCTAATAGAAGGTGTGAATTTGCTGTCAGCAGTGGGTGTGTTGGCCCTGGTCGGCCTGAAGCAGACCCCCTCGAGAAGAGGGCTGAGAATGAGCCTTGGTTGGCCCGGAAAAATACCAGGTCACCCAGATATGTAAACAACCTACGCTACCCGGCCCGGGCCGACCCGGTACAGATGGGAATGGCCCATTAGATCCTGACTCTCTGGGAGGAGTTTCTGTGTGAAGCTTGGTGATTTATTTTCCACCTGCGCTAACCTCTCCTGGGGGGTGCTTCAGGGGTCTGTCCTGGGGCCATTGCTGTTTTCCCTTTATCTGTTGCCCCTTGGTTCAATTTTTTGAAAGCATAAGATTAATTTCCACTGTATGCCGATGATTGTCAAATTTACTTTCCCCTGAGAATGGGATCGGCAAGATCAATGAAGCCCTTACTGGATTGTCTGGAGGAGGTCAGAGCATGGACTAGCTTCTTAAGTTTTAATGAGGGTAAAACTGAGGTAATTGTTTTTAGCCCCAGTATAAATATTGTCTCTGGTCTAGACGCTGACCTCTCTTTGTTTACCCCATTTAAGAAAGAGCTAGTTAGTAATCTAGGTGTGAAGTTGGACGCATCACTAAAGCTGGATGCTGATATTAACAGTGTAGTTTGCTGCTGCTTTTTTCATCTCCGCCGCATATCCAGGTTGAAGCTGCTAGCGTCACGGGCTCGCCTGGAGACTTTAGTCCATGCTTTTATCACCTCTCGATTAAATTACTGCAACTTCCTCTACTCTGACGTTAGCAAGGATGCTCTAGCTCGGCTCCAAACGGTGCAAAATGCTGCAGCTAGATTCCTGACTGGCACCAGGAGGCATGAACACATCACGCTAGGGCTATCGCGGTTGAGGAATTCCCCCTGCGGTGATTCAGGGTGGCTTAATATTGCGGTGTGCAATGTTATTGCAGCACTTTTTTTTATTGCAGTACTATCTAAACATAATGTTTACACATTTAAAAAAGGTTAAAAATTGCCGTGCCTTCTTTTATAACACTTTACTGAATGCAGATCAAAGGGCAGTAACAACACAGATCAAAGTAACGTTTGTTTCTCAGACAGTCGGAGTCCGACTGAACTTAAAAACAACAAAATTCAGGAGAAGGTTAAACTTTTAAATGCAAATTTGGCTGCAGCATTAACAAATAAGAAACAAGTCCCCATTTTGTTTAGTTGTTTAAATCAAGCATAAAAAATTACATGTACCGGGCGCGGGGCACTATCATTTCACTTTCACACACACGAATGACGGTGATTTATAGCTCGGTCACGTCCTTGTTACCCACAAGCAAAACCAGCATGTTAACCATATACGGTTTGAGAGAGGGTCTGAGAGGGGTGGCAACATTTCCAGCAACACTGACAACCCTCTCGGATGGTACGCTTGTTGCACTAACGCACACGTACTTGCGTGCAACTGGCGAGCAAAGGGAATCTCTCCCGGTTGTTGCTCCACCATGTCAGGGGGGTTCTTTAGGGTGGATGCATTCGTCCTGCAGGTAGCGAGTGAGCTCCAGCTCGGCTCAAACTCTCTTCGGGACGGTTGCAGAAGCAGTGCTTGTCCGGGACTTCAGCAGGTCTCCGAGCGTTTATTATTATTTATTTTTGCCGCTGATGGCAGCTCTGTCTTGGCCAAGGACTCTGGCTGCGCAGCAGCTGACGTACTGAAAACCAAAGTGCTCCCAAAGGAGCGAAGTAACGTTTTGTTTTGATACCAGTGCAGCCATCCTTCTCAACATGCATCACTGAGTTGAATCAAGTTCAGTAATCGCGGTGGCCCATGATGCAGCGCGGTGGGCTTCTTCATATTGCGATATTTAATTTTTGCGGTTACCGTGACAGCCCTACATCACGCCAATCTTGGCTCATCTGCATTGGCTTCCAGTCTCTTTTTAGAGTCAAGTTCAAGGTACTCATGTTTGTCTATAAGTCACTACAGGGCCGTGCACCATCATACCTCCCTGACTTAATCACACTCCATCGCGTGCTTTGAGGTCATCACAGCTGGAGTTGATTTTTCCGCGTGTGCGGCGCTCGACCAAAGGTGGCAGGGCTTTCTCGGTCTGGGCCCCCAAATTATGGAACGACCTTCAGTTGGAGGTCAGATGAGCGCCTTCCCTGCCAGCTTTTAAGAGCATGTTGAAGACCCATTTTTACACCATGGCGTTCCACTAGTCTTCTTTTAGTCTTTCTTATCTTGTCTTTTAACTAATATCTTTATTGCTTTAATTCATTTTGTTTTATCGTAGTCACTGCATGGTTGCTGTTTAACTTTTTATATCTTTGTTGTGTGTACAGCACTTTGGTTCAATCTCTCATTGATGGAAAGCGCTTTATAAATAATGATGATGATGATGAATTAAAACAATTCCACGCTTTTCCTGATAAAATACCAGATTCTTAGTTTACTGTGAATTAGAGACATAAAGGGCTCTTAATTAATAATACTATTAATCAAAAATCAAATTAAAGTCTTACTGTACTAATACAGACTTATAGCTGGATTATTGGGGAAAAGTGCACATTATTATTATTATTATTATTATGGGATTATTTATGACAATTAGGTCTTTATTCAGCACAATTTAAAACCTGTAAAAATATTATTTTCTCTGATGGAACAATTGATTTATTAAAATAGCATCACTGGTAAGTATCTGTGCTGTTTCTCTCTCTCTCTCTCTCTCTCTCTCTCTCTCTCTCTCTCTCTCTCTCCCTCTCTCTCTCTCCCTGTTTTGTATCACAGAGTGAAATAAAAGATGAAAACGTTTTTATGGTTTAATTAAAAGAAAAAAAATCATTTTTGTAGCTCGTGTTTATTTCTCTGCCACAGAACTGGCCTGTTCAGTTAGTCAGATTTATTTCCAGTTGTCAGTTTGATATCAAACAGTCATGAAAACAGTTGTGCTGCTTCCTGTTTTGCCATTAATTCATTTGACTCCTTTCCTCAAGGAGCCTCTGCCAGGCTACATGTATGTCTGTCTTACTGAAACCAGTTCTGCTCCAACAGCTGTGGTGCAGAACTGGTTCCGTAAGTAATCATAAGTGACTAACCGGTTCCAGATTCACCGTTAGTTCTAGTCCTTAGTGAATTTCACTTGTTCTAAACCAGATCGGATCCCAGTGCTTTCAGTCACAACATTATGGGATGTAGGGCTGTACAATAATTCAATAAGGATATGTGTGTAAAATTAGTCAATAAAAAACTTCAATAAAGCGTTTCCTTTTTTCATTCTAGCCTATCGGCTAGTTGCTTACCCCCAACCAATCAAAAACGCAGACCCAGGCACGTGCCAACATTAAGCCCTGTCCTCTCACCTAAACAGAGAGCTTGTGACTTAAAAAAGACCTCGCAACAAGGAGAGCGGGAGGTATTTGTAACCCAAAAGGGCAATATTTTTGTTTTACAAGTCTGTTAAAAAGCAAACCACAATCCTTTGAGAAATTTGCAGAGAATCGATAAGACAACGTACTTTTATCATAAAGTAGTTATAAAATGACGTGGGCTGCACATGTATATTTTCCATAGTTATTAATGATTATTGATGTCAATCAATACAAATACATTTATAGAAATATTTATTTTCTGTATAATCCAGCCTTAATAGGATGCCTTACCTGAGCTGAAAGTGGTGTTGCCTCCCAATGATAACTGCTTATCAGGGACCTGTTAATACACTACCCAGCCACAAGGGGGCCCCAGTGAGGTCCTCTCTGTGATCACATACTGTTAAGTCCAATATAGACTCCTGTAACTTTGTGTTAACCTTTATTATCTACCTCTGTTGAAAGCTTATCTGTATTTACCAGGCAGCACGAGTACAATAGTGGGGAAAATGATTTTTCTGAGAGCACAAACAAGCAGACTTTATCTTCCAGTGTTCGAGCTCACAGGCGGAGGACGATGAGTTCAGCAGCAGTGGTGCCTGGGCTGCGATGAAGGCAGAGATGGGTCTGGATGAGAGGAATCCGTCATGCTTCCTGCACACCTACAGCGTTGTCATGGTGCTGCGCAAGGTGAGCTCCGATAATCACAACAAGGCACATTCAGCTACTAACTCCTTAGAAAACCTACATTGTGTGTGTGCGTGCGTGTGTGTGCGTGCGTGCTCTGATATTTAGTTCAAGCCGTTTTTCTAAAATGATTCATCTTCCATCCCAACACCCATGTGGTGTCTAGGGTTGTCACGGTATGAAAATTTAACCTCACGGTTATTGTGACCAAAATTATCACGGTTTTCGGTATTATCGCGGTATTTTTTAAACGGTGTTGCATATGTTCAGAAAGCATTGATAGTCCTGTTCTACACAAACTGAAATAGTTCTGAAAAGGTTTAACAGTGTTTATTAAACCTAAAATAACACAAAGCCTTAGCAAAAGTGCAACTTTTCACAAGTAAAGGAACAAATAGCTTATTTTTCTGGAACTTGTTACAGTAGTCAGTGCAGGTTTAAATTATACAAATCCAAACATTCAAAACATAAACAATATGTAAACAAATCAAAGAAACACCACTTGTTTTCTCATATACTTGTTTTCTTCATTATCAAAATGAAAATCTAAAACTCCAGTCCACACCTGACTTGAGCACTGTACAAGTCAACCTTAAAAAAATATGTATTTTAAATAAATAGCCACTTTAAACAAATGACTAAAATAACTACTACACTATGTAATCAAATCCAAATGTTCAAGTATAAATGGCATTGAATAAGTAAACAAATCCATGACAAGGAACTAATTGTATATTTCTCTTCATCATCAACAAATAAGATGCTTCATCCAGCAACAGGGTGTCCGTGACACGGTTTAAATGCTGCCAGAGGACGCTGTGGCTGCAGTATATAGTGACTCGTTGCATTCTCCGTCAACCAAAAGTCCTCACGTCATGCATTTCAGCTAAAATGCTAATGTTATCTTACCTTGCACTGGCTGTGGAGACGTGGGTGATGGTCACGCAGATGTGCCATGAGATTTGAAGTGTTGCTGCCTTCTGCAGACACTTGTTTCCTGCACGTTCTGCAAACGGGATAGCCGTCTTCTATTAACTGTCCCTCAGCATTTTTCAGAAATCCAAAATATGCCCATACTTCCGATTTAGTCTTCTTTGAGGGCTGATGGATGTCCTGGGCGCTGCCGTCTCCTCCTTCGGCCATTATTTCAGCTTCAAAGTTTTGGTGCCGTTGCAAATTAAAAAGTGCGTGTGCGCGCAGCGGGAACTTCAGCTGAAGCGACGGTGGCTGGTAAGGGTCATCGCGCCGAAACCGCGGCTACGGTAAACCCACCGAGATAATATAGTTTTTTAAAAACTGGACGGTTATTTTTATTGTCAACTTTTTTACCGGGGTTTACCGCTATACCGGTTACCGTGACAACCCTAGTGGTGTCTGCTGGAGGTCTATTGGCATAATCAGGATGGATGACGGCGCTGCTCTGGAGGTGTTTAGCGATGAAAAACAGCGTGATCTCTCATCAGTCCCTCTGATGGAGACTGCTGTTGCTTCATGACCACCGGCAGCGCATGGAACTTTCTTTTGAGTTCTTGCACACGTTGGTCCCTGACCACATTCACGTGTAGAGTCATGCAGGCTGAGCTTATTCAGGTTAAAAATATCAGCTTCTCAAAATCCTCGTTTGCGTGAATGAACAAATTAGCACCGAGCCTGAACATGTGTCATCTAATGAATTGGAAATAAAGACTCGTCCAAGCAGTAATTCCTCCTCATCCCAGTGTCAGAGCGTCCTCGTAGCTTCCTGTTTGTGATAATAAACCAGCAGTGTGTGTGTGTGTGGGGCAGGCATTTAGGGCTGGAGGGGGGTTAAAGTTTCAGTTGGTGGGTCTATTCTGAAAGTCTTTTTTAGGTCCAAATGTATTGTCCATGAAGTCAAATGGTGTTTTTCTTTTTGTGACTCTAGTAGTTTGTCCTAAAGTTGAAGTGGTAGCAGCCAGCTATTTCTCCTTCTTTGATGTTACTTAACAGAGAACCTTTCACACCAGTGGTGTTGCTAAATACGTGAGTGTGTGATGAGTGGAGGACCCAGGGAAGTGAGGAAGTGCGGTGGTTTGGTGAGACCGACAACCAGATGGTCCAATAGTTGCTTTCGGACCGAACCGTGTTCGTGGCGGAGGATTTTACACAAATAGTAAATGACCTGCACTTGTATGAAACTCCAAAGTGCTTTACACTACAGTGAATCATTTCAACCCTTCACACCCTGATGGTGATTAGCTACAGTGTAGCCACAGCATCCCATCCTGGATGAACTTCTTGCGCAGCGGGAAGAGAACTCAACGGCGATCAAGAATTTCTTTAGGAAACTGGTCATTTACGCTGTAGTCTTTACCTTTAAGCTCTCTCCCGCGGCTTTTAACAAGATCTTTCTGCTTAAAGTGCTCAAATTTAGCCACGATGGGACGAGGTCTTCTGCTGTCTGTTCTCCTGGCTCCAAGGCGATGTACCGATGAAAGGTGATGTTTTTAACCGTTTCCTCAAGTATCTTCATGTGGGTGTGGAGAAAATTCTTGATGGTTTGTTCGCAATCCTCCGCTTCTCCTCCGGTCTGCTCTGGAAGGCCTGCAAACACCAGGTTATCTCTCATGCTGCGTGATTGGAGATCCAGAACCGTCTCCTTTAGAGCTTTGTTGTCCTGGGAGCTCCGATCTAATCCTGCAGTCAAGGAGGAAATCGATTCCCGCAGAGACGCGTCCTCAGCCGCGAGCCGCTCCACCTGCTCCTGGCTAAACTCCAGAGATGTTCGGAGGTCCTGGAACTCCTTGTGAAGCACCTCTAGCAGGTGGAGCCGCCCCTCAAATCCCAGAAGCCGTTTATCTATGGACTGTAGTAAATCTAGTACATCCTTATGGGGAGATAAGGCCTCGGGCGAGTCCTGGGGACGGCTCCTCTTGGTCCCAGGTGTTTCCGCCTCAGCTGCTGCTGGTTTCTTCAGTCCCATGACAAAAAGCTCAAAAACCTCGTCAATATATATTTGCAAATTTTCTAAATTTTCTCCACTCACCTCCAGGTTGAGTGTGTTATATTTACCAGCTTTATTACTGTTTTTGCGTTGTCAGTGAGTAAATTAGGCGAAGATCTGTCTTAATTGTTTGTGGAAGTTGATTAACAAGCTGCCATCTGCTTCAAAACGCCGCCATGTGTCCGGTGATCGGGCCGTCAGCGCATGCTCTGACAGGAGACTCTGCCAGACATTCGCAGCAGACCGTCCCGATATGTTTGGGCCTGCCTGGTCTGATCTGCATCCTCCCCCACCATCTGAGCCAACTCACCACCAGGTAGTGGTCAGTTGACAGCTCCGCCCCTCTCTTCACCCGAGTGTCCAAGACATGCGGCCGCAGGTCAGATGAAACAACAACAAAGTCGGTCATCGAGCTGCGGCCTAAGGCATCCTGGTGCCAAGAGCTCATATGGACACCTTTATGTCTTAACATGGTGTTCATTATGGACAATCCATGACTGGCACAGAAGTCCAGTAACAAAACACCACTCGAATTCAGATCAGGGGGGGCCGTTCCTCCCAATCACACCTCTCCAGGTCTCACTGTCGTTGCCCACATGAGTGTTAAAGTCCCCCAGCAGAACGAGGGAGTCACCAGATGGAGCGCTTTCCAGCACCCCCTCCAAGGTCTCTAAAAAGGGTGGGTAGTCTGAACTGTAGTTTGGTGCATAAGCACAGACCACAGTCAGAACCCGTCCCCCCACACTTAGGCGGAGGGAGGCTACCCTCTCATTCACTGGGGTAAACCCCAACGTACAGGCACCAAGATGGGGGGCAACTAGTATGCCCACCCCTGCTCGGCGCCTCTCAGTGGGAGCGACTCCAGAGTGGTAGAAAGTCCAACCCCTCTCAAGGAAACTGGTTCCAGAACCGGAAATAACTAAGTAATTAAATAAAAATGTAGTAGAATGAAGTACTTTGAATCAGTGTTTATCCTAAAGAATCATTTTTATGGTTTACTTTGCAATGCTAATCTTCTAAAACTTCAAATGTTGAGGGGATTTGCGAATAAGCCCTTTTTCTTCAGCCTTTTCCATTTTAGTTTGTTTTGAGGAGTAAATGGGTGATTTATTTTAAATGAGTTTATGTGGAAAATTGCTTTTGATGTTTTCATGGTTTGTTACTTTATTTTTGTTTTCCTGTTGGTTGTAATGATTGTTTGTTGTAATTTTAAAACTATAAAACATTTTATTATTTAATTTAATATTTGGCGTGTCTGATCGTTTTGATCTGACCAATCAAAGCGTGATTTTAGTGTGCCACCTGGTCACTGCATCATCCTGGATGAAGAGCAAGCACAAGTTATCAGGCTTAACATCTGATGTGCTGCCTATGTAATCTTCTCAAGAATGGGTGTAAAAGATGGATGAATGAACCAAGAAACAGGAAGTTGATGTTAAGGTTGTCTCTTCCCCACCAGGCTGCACTGAAACAGCTGCCTAGAAACAAAGTGCCCAACATGGCTGTGTGTCTGAAGAGCATTCTCCACACGAATACTGACGCTAAGGTGGTGTTTAAGGACCCAACAGGTAGAATGCGCACGCGCACACACACACACACACACACACACACACACACACACACACACACACACACACACACACACAATCAGGTGGAGTGGTGATCTGTCAGCTTCACCTCTGATATTCTCTCACCTCCCTCCACATCCCGCTCTACTGCTCACACACGTTCCTTCAGCAGGGAATCTCCTCCTTCCCCTCCATCCGTCTCCTCTGCAGCTCCATCTTAAACCTTCACCCTTTTCTCTGATCCGCCTTGGAGCAGAGTCTGTGCCCCCCCCCCCCCAGCGCAGCCCCATGTGGCATTCTGATTATCAGCAGGAGTGGATGTTGTTCAGCGTGGGACTTAAGTGCCCGTTAGTGATTCAGTTGTAGTGGCCTGGCGTCAGTGGTGGGTGGGTTTAAGTGCTTGTGACACTAAGAGTGACTGTTCCCTCAGTAATGAGCCTCCTGCCTACAGGAAGGGTTTTCACAAGACCCTCAACGTTTTCTCACACCTATGTTTCTAGAAATGCCCTGTCTTGTTTTTTCAGCTAAACAGTAAATTCTCAATGCACACAATAAAATATTATTTTTAATAATGTATTTTTTATATAGTTTTGTATTATTGTGTGATTATCATGTTAAAGTTGTTTGTGGATTATGATAAACAGAACAAAACGCGTAATCTTCACTAATTTAAGAGTTGCCATGACGATAATTCCATTCAATAACATGAATATTCTTAATATTCCAGGAGACGGTTTTTTATCTTAGAGAATGAAACCGTGTGAAAGTGAACATGCTGTTCCACTTAGGAGGAGTTGGAAACAGACTAAAGTAGTTGTTTTCATATTTGTTTTTATTATTTTCTTTTTTCCATTGGTTTTCTTTTTTTCTTGTAAAATTTTCATCCAAAACATAAAGGAAGAACATCTTTTAAAAAACATATTTTTGTGAAAATGAGTTGAACATTTATAATCTTACAGTTTTAAGTGGCTCTTTGAACAACCTCAGTTTGGAGAAACGGACATCGGCTCTGACTGGACAGAGGGTCAAGCGGGTTAAAGTCTTTCTGTTATCTTACATGAATTATTTGATCGCTGCGGCGCCACGCCTGAACCCATGTAGGGGAAACACTGACTCCAAATCCTGTCGTGTTCTGCTAGTCTCTCCTCCAGCTGACTTCTACGTCCTCAAACTGGAGCATCTGAGGTTTTTTCCCCAGAGAACGACTAACAAGACATTCATTCTGACTAGAGACCACTGCAAACGTATCAAAAATAGTAGTAGTAGTGAGTAAAGTTGACCTTTAAGTCTGCAACAACAACAAATCTGGGGCTGTTGCTGGGATAAAAGATTTAAAGAGCAAATTGCAGTTTAAAATGGATTTTAATTTTTATATAAAATGCTGTCCGAAAAATACAATTTCAAATGCTTATTGAGGGTTTTAATTTTTTTAACAATACATAACAGTGATGTGATGGGAGTTCAACATGACTCCTATTCTCCAGAGCCCTGTGATGTAGTTTTGAAAATGTCTTGCCCGCTCCTAGAGCCCAGATCAGCGTCAGAACCAGGTCAGGGAGGTCCGCGCTGAGCTCCAGAAGCAGATGGGGAGTGTTTAAAAATTTCTAGCGGGTCGGGGAAGCTGGTTTCTGGGTCGTAACTGACTCAAAACCGGCGACCCCAACCTCCTTAAGAGGATGTCATCGTCGTCTTCCTCCGCTTATCCGGGTCGCGGGGGCAGCATCCCAACTAGGGAGCTCCAGACCGTCCTCTCCCTGGCCACCTCCACCAGTTCCACCAGCAGGACCCCAAGGCGTTCCCGGACCAGATTGGAGATGTAACCTCTCCAACGTGTCCTGGGTCGACCCGGGGGCCTCCTGCTGGCATGACATGCCCGAAACACCTCCCCAGGGAGGCATCCTGACCAGATGCCCAAACCACCTCAACTGACTCCTTTCGATCCGGAGGAGCAGCGGTTCTACTTCGAGTCCCTCCCGAATGTCCGAGCTCCTCACCCTATCTCTAAGGCTGAGCCCGGCCACTCTACGGAGGAAACTCATTTCGGCCGCTTGTATCCGCGATCTCGTTCTTTCGGTCATTACCCAAAGCTCGTGACCATAGGTGAGGATTGGGACGTAGATCGACCGGTAAATCGAGAGTCTGGCTTTCTGGCTCAGCTCCCTCTTCATCACGACAGATCGGCTCAGCATCCGCATCACTGCAGACGCCGAACCAATCCGCCTGTCGATCTCCCGATCCCTCCTACCCTCACTCGTGAACAAGACCCCGAGATACTTAAACTCCTCCACTTGAGGTAGGACCTCTCTCCCGACCCGGAGTTGGCAAGCCACCCTTTTCCGGTCGAGAACCATGGTCTCAGATTTGGAGGTGCTGATCCTCATCCCTCTAAAGAGGATGTGAAGCTTTAAAAAAATCCTAGTGGGCCAGGGAAACTGGTTTCTGGGTCAATCAATCGATCAAAGCTTTATTTATAAAGCGCCTTCCGCAACCCTGTCAGGAAGCCCAAAGCGCTGAACATGGTACAGTTGTAGGTAAATATATTGAGTAAACCAACAATAAAAGCAATTCAAATTACAAAATCCAAATTACAAAATACAAATTACAAGATAGATGAAACATTCTGGTACAGGACAAATGTGTGAAACACATTTGGATTGAGTGGATGGATTGAGTGAACCAATGAAAACTGTGAAATAAATCCAACATAAAAGAGGCCAAAATCAAACATGTTCTGGAAACGCCAAGCGGAGGAGGTGTGTTTTTAGGTGACTCTTATAGACTCGCAGAGATGGGGACAGCCTAACTGAGGGTGGCAACTGGTTCCAGAGTAACGGTGCTAGGAATGAGAAAGCCCGGTCCCCACGGGTACGGGTCGGACCCAGGTTCGAGCTGCCTGCCCTGAATAGAATGACGGGCATCTCTCCCTCTCTCTAAAGCGCTAAGTCCCATTACGTAGATGGTAAAATAGTAAATGGTACATAAAAGGATATTAAAGATTGTGAAATGGCTGACAAACGCTCATTATAGTTTCTTAGTGTCAGTTAACACTGACCAATAATATTTAGTCTGGTACATGACAGTAATCTCTTTAGGACGAAGAGGGTTTGTCATGAAAAATGGGACAACAGTACATTTTGGACTGGTAGGATTTCACAGCCAAGACTCTCTATAGGAAATTTAGCAAAGATGATTTACCCACAGATGGACTACTCATACCTGATGCACCAAAATGGCAGTTTTCTACTCCGTTCTGTAGCTTCAGAATATAGCACACTTACCTGTGGAACCACCATGTCTCCACCTGGTCTTCGATCTGCTCCAGCAGCTTGTTACATTCAAATTCTGTCTTCTCACATGCACCTTCTACTATCTCCAAGAGCCGAGTCTCGCTGAAACGGAAAGGCACTTTTTAAAGATGTAGAACTTTAAATAAATGATCACAAACTTCAGCATGTGTCCAGTAACACAAGTAGGACTAAGTCAGTGATGGTCCAGATCCTCACTGCTCAGCTGATGGATGCATATTTTAGAAGCACCTAAAGCTACCTGTGTGCATATTTGGCCAGCATCTGTACAATGTTGTGATGCTAGCACACAAGCTTAAGCTAGCTAGCTTGCTAGCCTCGTTCACTGACAGAAACACCTGCTCTCTCCACACCACAGCCAAATCTCTCTCCTTTGGCCATCATTTCTCCCTCTGGCTTGTCTCTGCTCTCTGGGGCGTGCATCAGGCTCATAACTGAATGGCTGTGGTCCATCACAAGTATAATTATAAACCTCTAACGTTTCCTCTGTGTCAGAACCAGGAAAAAAATCCATATCTTTCTCTGGATCAGGCTAACAGGGCTGCCTCTGCCTGCATCACGTCTGGTAATGCAGAAAAAAACACTTTTCTCACAAAAACAACTCCCAAAGCCTAAATAATTCATTTATGTGTTCCTTTTTATTTAAAAAATGGTTCCAATTATGTTTCTCTAAATATTTATTTCTAATGAGGCTCTAACCTGCAACGTGCTCTTTAAAAATGAATTCACAAGAGATGAATTCACAGAAAGGCGAAGATGAAATATTAGTTTAACGGTTAAAATAGTTATTTCTCACTGACCTGCTGATAATCCTGATTCACTGGATGAACTGGTTTTCTCTTTGCTCTGTATTCTAACGGAAGTGTTCATGCATCACACATGGTTTCAGTTGCTGTTAGAAACAAAAGTGAGCTGTCTTCTTTCGTTCTGGGGCTGAAGGGGAGATCCAGGGAACGGTGCATCGGCGTCTCCTGGAGGAACGGGTGGAGGAGCTGAAAGTTGGAGCTGTGCTGCTGCTCAAACAGGTGAGACTCCCCGCCTGCCGTCTTAAAAAAATACCAGCACTGATGGTGCTAAATCTAAATGAGCAGGGATAACAAATCTGTTTCTTTCTTGTGACTTCAGGTGGGGGTGTTTTCCCCCTCCCATCGTAACCACTACCTGAATGTGACATCCAACAACCTGCTAAGGATCTACGCCCCCGACGGAGTCAGCCTGTACTCCAGTCAGCTGCCTCCACTCGTCCTGGTGAGCGCCAGCTGCGACAAGGAATGACAGAAAATCCATAAATGTTCGTTAACGTGTCCCAGGATCTTTAAAATCTCTATTGTCTGTGCTCAGGAGCCGATGTTGTCATCACCCGCTTCGGTTCCCGGCGTCCTCCGGGGGACGGTGTCTCGGATGCAGCTGGAGTTTGATGAAGAGGACGAGGAGGGAAAAGAGGGAGGAGGACACATGGAGAAAGCCAAAATCCCTCGGGCCCAGACACACACCGAGGAGAACAAATCGGTTACCTCCAGCAGAGGCCCCCGTGGGAGCACCGAGCAGGAGGCAGGCTGGGATGCAGGTCGGACCCCGCGTAAACATCAACTCTGATTGTTAGACACAAGCCTTCATTCTAGTCACATCTTGAGAAGCAGATTGCAGGAAAATGTGTGTTTGTGGAGTAAACAGTAGAGACTGGAGCTGAAAGCCTGACGAGCTGTGGCAGAACAACAGCAGAAGGTTCTGATCCGGAGACGCAGAAGATGCTCCCAACTCCCACGATCAGGACTCACCGAGCTTTGTGCTGCATCATCGGTTAGACTAAAGAACAGAAGTAATGGCAGGGTTGGACACAGACCATCAGAATAATCTGTGGATCAGAAACGATTCATTAGATAATCGTTATTAAAACAAACGAAGGATCAGTTTGACAAAGTGAAGTTGCGTAGGAGAGGCCTGCGGTCTGCTGAGCGTGTGTGTTGCCCTGCAGCAAATGCCTGTAGGCCTACATGTGTTGCATCACCACACCTGCTGCTGCTTTTAAACAGTATTAGTGTCATTAAAGTACACAAAAATGGCTGTTAGATTGTAGGGATGTGAATCTCAGAGCAACTCACGATTTGATTCGATTCCGATTCTCGGGGTGCCGATTCGATTCAGAATCGATTCTCCATTCTCGATTTAAATCGATTCACAATCAGTATTAACAAAGAGTGTCAGCTCCAGGATGAACTACTTTGTTGTACAAGTTAGTTAAAGCTATGGGACATTTTTATTTGACTTTAAACTGGTCGTGCTCCAAAAAAGCTAATTTACAATGTAAAATAAAGTGATTCTAAAACTGTAAACAGAAACAATCTTTTGACCAAAAGGCAACATTTATTTTTGCTTACCTTGTAAAATATAACAAATCTGTAGTTACCTAACAGTAGCTTTGAAAGTAATATGGTCAAATACTTTTCAAGTATGTGTAGAAATAAGTTACACGAGTAATCCTGAGTACTCGTTTATCAACTTAAAAATAAATATGAGAATTTCTCAAATTTCTGAGTATGGAAAAAACGACATTCAAGTGCCCTCTTGTCAGCAGATTCAAACATAAATCATCTCAATTTATGGGACCACAAAAGTAAACGGAGTACTGACTCTCCTATCAAAGATTAAAAAGTGCATCTCAAACCTGTAACATGCCAAATATTTGAGTTCTTGGAATCGATTCTGAAACTTTGTGAATCGATTCTGAATCTTTATAAATAAGAATCCCGATTCAGACTTGAATCGATTTTTTTCAGCACCTCTATTAGATTGTGTAAACACCATTTCATCCTAATCTAATAAATAAATCAGTCATTTAGATGAACGGAGCTGCTGCAGAGACGTGAATGTCCAAACGTGGAGTGGATTGATAAAAAGCATTATTTTCAGGCACATCTGCACTTGGAAATGTGAACCACATGGAAAATATTGCTGAGCGTGCTGCAGAGCATCTCAGTTATAATGGGAAATAAGTGGACGTGTTTTTACGTCCATCAAACACTCACGTGTTCTGATCTTTTCTTCTTGCGCTGATGTTTTAAAAAGCTGCTCATGAGTTCAGCCTTCAGAGGAGGTACGAGCGTGTGTCATTCTGAAGTCGTGACACAATGAGAGCATGCTCACTAAACCAAATGTGATGAAATCTAATTTAGTTTGTTGATTGGATTGCTTTTGTGATTTTTATGGCACTGAAATCACAATTTAAGTGCTAAATAGTTGAACTGCTCAGCCCAAAAGGACAGTTCTGTAAAGAATAAAAGCACATACCAAGTAAGTTCAAGCACACATTTAACTAGATAAATACCAGAAGCGAAACACGAGATTTTTCCACTGACAGCTGGTGGCTTGTGATGATTGCTTGATTGGTGTTTTGAACTGGAGCTTCTACTCTGCTATTAAGTGGCTGGATTGCTTCAGATAGTCAGTGGTTGTATTTGCATGGTAGCTGGCTGTCACTGATGTGGTGAAAGTGCTTTTTGCAGCCCATCACTGCACGAAACCACTCTGATGTGAGTAACTACATGAACGCTGATGTGGCGCCATCTTCAAACCAAACTAACTTTAATTTGTTTGCTTTTTTTTTTGGCCGTGGCATGAGTGCACTTAATGTACGGAGACTTGATTGTTCGGGTGATTGCTTGAAAGGATAAATTGTTGAAAACTACCTCACATCTCACCACCCTGTCACTATTTGCAGATGATGACCTGGACGAGCTGCTGGGAGAGTTGCCTGAGGACACCTACAGCTTTTGATCCAACCTTTTTCCTCCTGAAGAAGCTGTAAAAACACGATGTTAAGCTAGTTTTATTTGTTAGAAAATAGTCTGACATCCACAAAGCTTTCTGTTTAAAGCCTTTCTCCTGAGTGACACGTTTAGTGATTTGTCTTATGACTTCTCTACGTTGAGCTTTTTCTGTTTCTAAGCTTGTTGCTTGAACGTGGAAGCTGGAAATAAACAAGTTTGCACAAAAATGACTAATTATGCAAATTAAAGCAAGGCAGCCTTTCTTTTCTTGTGCAGTGTTTGCCTTCCACCTCCATTCACCATCAGTGTCTGTCCCTGATCCTATCAAAGAGGATAAGCTCTCTGCTTTGGGGATTTTTTTATTTATTTACAGTGCCTTGTGTTTTAGAGTTTCTCAGTTCTCAAGCAGGATGGTGCCCCCTCACGGTCCTGTGTTGATTCTGTGATGGGAGAGGTACTTATCTTGCCCGGTCTGCATCAGAATTCAGTCACACTGTGACGAAGAGGCTCTTGTAGGCTTTCCCTCCAGGATTTCCTCCTCAGACTCCACCACCTCTGTCTCACTGTAGCAGATTCAGGTTAATCTGCAGCCTCTTTGTCATTCACAGTGTGCTGCGGCTGCTTAAGTGTCCTGGTTTATGTTCAAAAGCAGTAATTGGGATGATAAAATGGGTCTTATTTGCAGTATATTTTCTTTCTGGTGTCTTTTTAAAAAGAGTACAATTTAATTTGGCCTGTAAGTGTCGAGGCAATTAAACACCTTCTGTTGTTTGTCTTCCATTTTTCTTTATGTTGGAACTGAAAGGAGCCATGAAATGAGAGACTAAAGTGCTGACTGTCGGCGTAAATGTGGGCTGATTATGCCGTAGCATCGTTTTTTGTCCTGGAATAACCGCAATGAGTCAGAAATCAACGTCCTCGTTGCTTCACTTTAAGCATTTTCACACCTTGTGCCAATTTTAAGCTCATTCTGCAGACCAAATAAAAATATAGGAAAAAAGGTTTTAGTGTTGACCTAGAACCGTCGTAAAACACCAGACTGGAAGTACACACGTCTACATAATAGATGTCTATGGAAGTGAAGTTGTTTAAACAATAATCCTTGCTCAAATATGTAAGGGCCGAATCTTCTCTGCTAATATGTTTCCTTAAAAGTGTGGGAAATGATTTTTTTAAACAATCTGTCTATGAAAATAGTCTCCTACACCTTTCTTCACTTGGCAATAGTCAAGTGAGACTCTAGAATTTAAAAAGCCTGACAGATCTACATCAAACGGTCACTTGGACTCGCCCATCTTGGCTCATGATGAGGAAGGTTGTTGTTTTCGCATCCAGAATCAGCAGAGAACATCTCGGCTAGTAGAAGCTAACCATTAGCAACTCACCACACAGCAAAACTCCGTCAGGCTTGTGCTATTTGTGGAGATAAAACATACCTTGCAGAGCAAATTAAGTTAGTGGTCGAGTCATTTTGCTGTTAGCCAATCACAGGCAAGATGTCAACATTTCAGGAAATAGAACTCCCAAATCCTGCCGTGTTCAGCTGTCCCTTGATGCTTCAGACTTGTCTGTGCTGTTGCAAGTGTTTCTGAGCTTTTTTGCCCTGAGTACAACCTGCAAGACATTCAGAGACCACTGCACATGTATTGATTAAATGAGTGAGCCACACCTTTAATAAAAATAAGCTTCAGAAGCGGGTTTAATAGAAGTCCTAAAGGGATACTTAGCAACTTTTTCCACAAATTTAAATCATTTTCTTGAGCCAGTATGTGCTAAAATGACCTTTTGCAGTGTTAATGAAACGCCACCCAGCCCCTATCGCCCCCTGTGGCCAGAATTTTCCACTTGCAACTTCAGACTGGCGGGTGGCTCTGTTGGGGCACTGCAGTTTGGTTCCAGCACATTTCCTGCACATGTTTTAGATCATGAGCACAGCTAATTTGTTAATTTAGAGATTAATCACTCCTGTAGACACTAATGAAGGCCGTGGAGACACTTCAGCTGTTCAATTAAGGCGTTTTTGTCTCTTGGTTTTACAAACAAGACACTGGGGAGGGGGGGGGGGGGGGGGCTAAAAGCAAGCTATTCAGTCAGCTTCTGGACCTTTCTTGTTTGTAAATAACCTAAACATATTTCATCATAAGATGCAACAAAAATTAAAAAGGTGACTCATTTTACAAACAAAAGTTAATTAAAAAAAACACCTGAAATATAAACACAAAAACAGGTTTTAGTTGCTAAAATATGATTTTCTTTTCCTGGCAAGTGGATTCTAAAATGAAAACTAATTTAAAATTATGTGAAATTTTGTCAAAAATAGTCATGTTCTAGGAAACTCAATCATTTATAAGCTAATACATAAAGATTCCCAGCTTTAGATAGATAATATATATACACATCCCCCTTGACACATCCGGTCAGGAGGATCTTCTGAGATAAAACAAAAAAACTAAGTTAGGAGTTGTGATGAAACTCCTAATTGGAAAGGACCTCAATTTGACCAGGAAAAGCTCTTTGAACACATTTGTCCTCAGAAGGGATTATTCCTTCCCCTATTCTGTATATCTACCAATTAGGACGTTCACAAGCAAATCTGCAGTTATTGCTCACACACTTGAATAATTTGCCCTTTTACTTCAGTCGCCTCTCGCTGGAGGTAATAATAATAAACTCTACAGCATTTGGCCAAATCTGGCACGTATTCATCCTAATTATCCACTAGTAGGACCTTATTAGTTTTTACAGTTCATTAAAATGGTCTGATAGTGTGATTACTCCTCCGGTTTTGTCATGCATATTATACAAGAGGTGCAAGTGACTCCAAAATAAATAAAGGAAATAAAAGCATGACCTCAAGGGCCCTAAGATTTGTTCTGGTTTAAAGTTTGGGGAGAAAAACTTGCTTATGTCTGATGTTAAACGCTGTAAATATCTGAATTTAGCCTTTAAGAAATCCCACTAATTATGTTCTAAAAGTTCATATTTTTAATGAGGACTTGATAAGTTGGGTAAAATTAAAATCCCATTTCACACGAAGGACACGGCTTTTAAGTTTACAAAGATATTTTTTTTACGTTTATCTTTGATTACAGCAGGTGTTCAACCTTGTATTATTTTAATCATTCTATCAAATTACAATAACAGGATAAAAATAGTTATTTCCTGTGAAGGCATGTCAAAAATTCAATTTTCAGTAGGTTTATTATTTTCTGTACACTTAAGAGTGTGATTGATTATCTGCTGCATCAATCCAGATCAAGCTGTTTTCATGCCCCGAGTCAAAAACAAACACTTTTTAATGTTGGTTTTTGCTGCTGAAAACTTTTTAGTGTTAATGTGATGCAAATTAAAAAAGAGAAACACGAATAAAGTCTGGAAATATGGATCTGTTAATCCTTTGGCTGAAAGTAAAAAAGCTTGGGTGGATGAATGCAGATAAGATTTCAAAAGCACGAAGCTTAATTTTCAACCTTGGAGATTGTTTAATCCCTGTAAAACTATGCTCATTACCTCAGTGGAAAAATGAAAGATTTGCTTAATTAAGTTGTTAAACCAGCAAACCCTGCAGCTGTCTGAGACCACAGCGAATGTGATTTGGGAGAAGGAGCTGTGATCGACAGAGTGTGGGTGTGCAGCAGTGGCGGCTCCAGAAATGTTTTTCTGCAGGTGCTATGAAGGAGCTAGTCTTTTTATTGAGGGTGCCATGAAGGAAGTGGTCATGCGTACCTATTGTTCTCTAAAACACCTTCAACACTAGCAGATACACATGCGTGCACAACACCTCAACACCTGAAACAATCATTAATAAACATCATAAACATATGAACAATCGCTGACTTTTCCATGAAATCATAAACACACACAGCCACACAGAAACCCATCTATAGTGTTGCAAGGTTAGCTAACGTTAGTGTGAGCATTTCCAGTGGCAACACCCTCGACTGCTGCGGTGGTTGAGGGTTGACTCTCTTCATCCAGATCTGTAGGTTTTTGTGGGTCTGAGATCACTTCCAAAGATTCATTCATTTCTGACTGAACCTGTGGAAATTTGGGCAACAAAAACCGATCCAGTTTACCACTAGCTCTACCTTTCACTGGTTCGCAGGTGGAAAATGAGGTCAAAGGTTAACATTAATTTCCTGATTTGGTTTACGTTTTTACTATCTATATGTTTATGTTTATGTATTTAGCAGACGCTTTTGTCCAAAGCGACTTACAAGTGATAATCGGCATGTTGCCCTTGAGGCTAACAACAACAACAACAACAATGGTGACAGTTGACTGATTTTTGTTTTGTTTTGTATGTTAAATATTATCACATCCACACGTTAAATTTAAATTAAATTGTAAAAAAAAAAATCTAATATTTACTTGGGAGTGCAATGTGTCACACCCTGTCCTGTCTCCCCATTCTGTTCAGTCATGTGTTAATTGCTCCCACCTGCCTCTCGTTTTCCAATCACCCAAGCTCCCAGCCCTCATGTATTTAAACCCTCTCATTTCTGTGTCTTTTGTCGGTTCATTGTTTCCATGTCCTGTGTGCGTTTATCGTTAAAAACCTTTTATGTTTTCCTGTCTGTCTGTCTGTCTGTCTGTCTGTCTGTCTGTCTGTCTGTCTGTCTGTCTGTCTGTCTGTCTGTCTGTCTGCCTGCTTCCTCCCCAGCATTTGGATCCTCACCTCCGCTTCACTCACCAGCACGCGTGACACAATGACTAATCCAGGGGTAGCTATAGCGGCCCCTGGCGCCGCCACCGGTGTGCAGGCCTGAAAGATAGAGCATGGTTTATCTTCTTTATCATTCTTTAGTTTTAATTGAGTCTTTAGTGATCTTTTAAGGGGCAGAACTCAAAGAGAAAGTTCATTGTGATACTCAAATACCCTCAGGTGTGTACTGCATAGAATACACAGCTAAAACTATTCATAACAAAATGTTTGTTTTTGAACCGTTTGATATTTTAATGTTGTTTTCTTATAGCTGCAAATAAATGTTTCACCGTTCTATTTCACATCTAAGAACAGTCAAATACATTGTGTTATTTAGTTGATTTTGTTTGACTACTTTTTATGTAACACAATTGTGTAGCCAAATATGAAAATAACAGAATTTATTTTTTAGTATATTTCATTTATATTTTATTAAAATCAGGTGAAACGGTGCTTTGAACGTCACCTGACGTTTCAGAAGCCACTTTTCTTCTCGTGCTCTTATTTTGGTAATCTAAAACAGGTAATATAGTGACCTCATTAGTGAATCCAGCAAAT